TCCACATCTTGCTGCTAAGAATTTGGTGTCCTATCATCGATATATTGATGATATATTTTTTATTTGGAAAGGAGGAGAGGAAAGTCTTAACCTTTTTTTAAATGATTTAAATGTTAATAGTTGGGGGATTTTTTTAACTTCTACATACAGTACTAATCATATTAACTTTTTAGATTTAGAGGTTTTTATTTCTAATTCCACTATTAACACCAGGAACCATTTTAAAGATGTAGATGCCAATAGTTATATTGAGATGAGCAGCTGCCACTATCCACCATGGTTAAAGAATGTACCAAAGAGCCAATTCCTACGAGTACGGAGGAATTGTACTCAAGAGATTGATTACATCTCTCAAGCAGAGAGAATTAAGGAGCAGTTTTTAGACAAAGGGTATGAGACTGGAATACTACAGAACTGCATTGAAGAAGTTAAAAAGATTGACAGAAAAGATCTCATTCGTTATAAAAAGCCACATAATAAAACTACTGATAAACATACATTTAATATGCCTTTTATATGTAACCATAGTGGTAACAACCATAAAATTAACAAAATCGTCACTAAATATTGGCCAATCTTAAAAGAAGATCCTATATTAAGTCAAATTTTACCTAATCGACCAAAAATTGTTTATCGTGGATGGAAAAATTTAAAACAGATTTTAGTAAAAAGTAGTTTTAGAACACAACCTCCAACACATTTTTTAAACAAAAATAAAGGGTTTTATGGGTGTGGATCCTGTCTTGCTTGTAGGGAAACCAATAGCACCAAAAGACATATCACTTCATTTACATATAAAGATAAAAAAGAGTTTACTATTAAAGATCAGTTAACCTGTTTCTCAAAATGCGTGATTTACATTTTAAAATGTCCTTGTAATTTAATTTATGTTGGCCGAACGATTAGATGCCTACATATTAGAATTGCTGAACATGTACGCAATATAAAAAAAGGCTTGGAGACACATAGTGTCTCACAACATTATAAAAAATGTCATAATAGTAATCCAAGGAATTTAATGTTTTGTGCAATTAAATCCGTTTCTAAAAATTGGAGAGGAGGAGACTTTATTAAAAGGATTGGTGAGGAAGAAATGCGATGTATATACAACTTTAATACCCTCATTCCAAATGGTCTGAATCAAGACTTTGAATTATGCCATTTTTTGTAATATTTTTTACATTTTATTTTTATTTTTATTTATATCTTCATAATGGCCTTCTATAATGTATTTTTTAGAATGTATTGTGGTACATGTTATCCTTTTTTATTATGAGGATCATTTTCCTTTTTTTATTCCAGTATATTTTATATGGGTACTGTGATAAATTCTTTCTTGTTTCTATTTTTAATTATGATGCTTTTTTATTCTTGTTGATCTTCTTGTATTATTATATACATATATTCTTTATATTAGATGGAAGTACATACATCCTTGCATTAGTTGGTTCTCATTTATAATGTACTACATGTATTTGGGTATATTTGTTTTTAATTTCCATATGTGGAACGCATGTGCGTTCCACGACCGTCATGTCCACTGGTTTTTTTTTAAAGCGGATGTGGGGGGGAGTGGAGCGCGCGTGCGTTCCACAAGCACTATGTCCGATCATGTGATCGGACAACACAGGAAATGGTTATTGAATCCGAAGCAGGAAGCGGATGTGGAGAGGAGTGGAACGCACGTGCGTTCCACAAATACTACGTCCGATCATGTGACCGGACAATACAGGAAATGAGCATTGAATCGGAAATCATGCGTTCCACGGATGAAACCGGAAGTCGACGCTGTGCGTTTCACAGATGAAGATGGCGCCAAAACCAACTATATTAAAGAAGAAAGAGACTTTTTACATTGAATATCCACCAACTGAGGAAGCCTATTTGGCGAAACGCGTTTTGGTGATTATATGGACTTTGTTTTATGTTTTTCTTTTATTTCTGGAATAAATTATTACTTTTGAAGTAGATATTGTTCCTGCATCATCCTTCTCATCTACTGGAGTGGGATTTGGATCTCCCTTAAGGATCCTACTGCTATCCAGACTAGAGCCAGGTTACTCTATGGCTCTATCCTTGTGAGTGTGCCCATTATAGACATAGTGATTACTTTTTGTCTTACCAGTTTTACACTATTGTATCTCCCTCTGTTTCTGTTTCAGTTTTGTGGCTGTATATTGAAGAGAGGGAAGTATTTACAGTATTTGTTTTTTATTGCTCCACCTATTTGTTGTATATTACTGTATTTTGTGAAGGTGAAGGGGATACCTCACTGGTGTTTTGAGCAATTTTAATACTTTGGGATATACTTGTTTTGTGTGTGCATTATAGTGATAACACTGCTATCCTGCATTGTCATACATTAATGTTTTACAATTTTCTTTTGCTTGCTTGTTATCCCTTGTTTAGTGCAGTATTAGTTTGATGGCTTTCCAATTCACTGGAAAATATCTAGGCTAACTCGATTACGCAAAATGATCCTCATGCTCACTCAATGCCTTTTATCCTCCATGTCTAATATTCCCCCTTTTTATTATATATTTTAAGTTATCTTAAAGGGACACTCAGGGCACCCAGACCACTTCTGCCCATTGGAGTGGTCTGGGTGCCAACTCCCATCACCCTTAACCCTGCAAGTGTAAGTTTTTATAAACTGCAATAATTACCTTCCAGGGTTAAATCCTCCTCTAGTGGCTATTTTAAATAACGCTGGATGTCCTCACGCTATAAATAATGATGTCCAATGGGGAGGTCGCATTAAGTCTCCCCCGCTGGCTGATGTTGGCGGGGCAGGAGCATAGGTGGAGTCTGACTCAGCACCGAGGGACATTGGTGCTGGATTCAGGTAAGTCACTGAAGGGGTTTTAACCCCTTCAGCAACATGGGAAGGGGGATCTGAGGGAGGGGGGCACTGCAGGATTCTGCAGTGCCAGGAAAACGGATTTGTTTTCCTGGCACTGGATACTTAGACATGAGAGTTCAGCATGACGTTTATTCAACAATGATTAATTTACAAATGAGATTGAACATCTTTATTGCAATATTTTTCTGTTATACTCTGACATGCACTAACCACCTGTTATTGCTATCTGTAACATACTTAAACGAAAAAAAATCTGATTGACAAAAAGCAAAACTTTTTTGATGTGGTAGCTGACTAGAAAGTCCTGGTCAGCTGTCACATAGTCAACTCTCGCAGTGCCAAAAATTATTTAACTATTTGCCCACAGGCTGCTAGTACCAGCAGCAGGCAAACAGTTAGATTTCTTTTTGAAAAGTCCGGATTTCAGATGGATCAAGCCCCATCGTTACGGCCAAATTATGGCCAGTTCAGAATCGGAACTGAACAATCCGGACATTGTTAAATAGTGAGAACAATATCAAGATTGTGCAATCCAAATTTCCCTGTATGCAGCCTGATGTTTTTTTTAGTCTTAAGTGAATTTTATTATATTTATTATTATTTATTTATAATAAAATTGTTTCTGGAAAACACAGTGACAAAATACTATCATGCTGCTAGGAAACACAATCTTATGTCTGGTTAATATTTTAATGGATTGACAATGATTTACAATTGCATTTCCTGTATCTTGGGGTGTGTTTTTAGAACCAGACAGTTAGCAAGCACAATTGTATCTTTTAAATTCTTTACTGGAAGGAATCCTTTCCTCTGCTGTAGGGAAATATATTTCTTTAGTTCTCAACGGACGATCCCTTTATTCTTTGTATACTGTACCCCACTAATGAACAGGTTTTGTACGTGACTTTACATTACTGACCTTTGCAAATGCTGGTTGACATTGTGCTGTATTGTTTTATTATCTATTATTAAAGGACCACTATAGTGCCAGGAAAACAAACTTGTTTGTTATAAGGAAGATGTGCACACCTCCAAAAAATGGGTGGTTTGATTTCTGGATGCCAGAGTGTACATATATGTGTGTGTGTGCGTGCATGCCAGGCTGACTAAAAGGTCTTAATGTCCAGCCCCACTCCGGGTTGCCTGTGTGCATTGTGCTCCAGAAGCCATGGGTTCAGTGCTCTGAAGATATTATTTATGTATTGGGCACATGTCAATTGATGCACGTTTCAAATGTTCCCAATGCTGACTGGGGGCATTTCCCTGATGTACCCAAATGTAGAACCCCAGGGCACAAACCTAGGACGGGATACATGCTTCCAAATTTAGAACAGTCCTTAAATTTCCAGGATAATTGGGAAGACTTGACCTGAGAAATCATGTGTATTTTTTCTTGTCCTTAGTGAGTAGTAGATTCTAGTGTGTATATGTGGTTTAGATATTGCATACCTTTGTTTTGAATCCTGCTCACGGAGAATGCCTATATCATATCAACATTTTTCACAACACTCATTTTTGAAGTAAAAAAAAAAAAGATTTGTGTATGTCAAAATATTTTGTATTAAAGCTTACAAATATTTGTCAACAAAGGACTGATCACAGGACTCATATATATACCAGGTATATACCAGGGAGCATTAAAACATGTCAAGATATTAACAATTAAATTTTATGTAACTAAACATTTGCATAAAAATAAAATCATTTAGACAATGTCTAGGTCACAGGTCACATAATTAGATGTCACCTCTCTCAAACCCAACCTGGTCTGCTCCTTCTTGCTGATTATCTATTGGCATCATGCCCTGGCTGTTTTAGGCATAATTTTCCTCCCCCACCTGTGTGTGTGTGCCTGCTCCTGCTTACCTGCACGGCTTTCATCAAGCTAGAAAGTAGTGACTGAACTCAGTGGTGTATTTGGGATCTGTGCTGCCCTAGGCATGACGGAACTCTGGCTTACTCTCCTTTAAATTTGCCCTGCCCCTTTCTGTCAAGACCACACCTCCACCTGTGAAAGACTAACACACACTTTGTCTGACAGACACACACGGACACACCCACTCTCAGATACTCTGACAAACACAAACACTAAATGATTTGACACAATCTGAAAGACACACACACAATCCCTCACTCACTCACTCACTCACTCACAGACACAAGGACAGAGACACACACTCACTGACATACAAATATAATCACTCAGACACACATTCACTCACAGACACACACTGACAGACATATACACATTCACTGACAGACACACACATTCACTCAGACACACAGTGACAGACACACAATCACTCAACACACACACACACACATTTAGTGACAGACACATACTGACACACACATTCACTGACAGACAGACACACGCACTCACTCATTCACAGACACACGCCCACTCACAGACACATTGACTTACAGACACACTGTCACAGTCTGACATACATACCCACATACACTTGCCCACAGACACACTGACAGCTACACACACACTCACTGACAGACAGACACACACTCACTGACTCACAAACACACTGTCACAGACTGACAGACACACATACTCTCACTCACTCGCAGACACACTGACAGCTATACACAAAAACATTCACTGACAGACACACACACACACACAATTCTTCCCAGCTTCTACGCAGTGAGTACCCGGTGTCCCGTCGATGAGTGTGAACCCATGTCCAGGAACTAAGAGGTAAGACTGATACCGTTAGAGTGGTAGGCCCACAAGGGGTTTTATATTTGGAACCGGTTATTGGACTGCCCCCTCCCTCTGGAGGGAAGAAGCAAAGGCGCCCCGTCGATCTGGAAATTAGACGCTCTGTAGTCAGCCCGTCTAATATAGGTGGTTTGCGTCAGGCTAAATCTTGGTGTAAATAGTTTATGCCGGACACCGGTGTCCTGTCTTGACTAGCGTGTCTAGGTGTAAATTTCGGTCACTGGGTCGGGGAGGCCGGCGAGACTAAGCAGATTCTGGTGTACATTCCGTCTGCTAGATCTCAACCTATCTTGCCTAAGTGTTCTCTTTTGTAAATTCTGCCACTAGACTATTGATAGAGTAGATAGACTAAATGGGTACTGTTGTAAATTCCGCCCATTAGTTCGCTATATGTGGTGCTTGGGCAGCGTAGACTAACCGAATCCTGGTGTAAATAGTTCGATAGTTCTCGAGGTACTGGCCAATTAGAGTAGTTGGGTTTGCTGTAAATGTTGTTAAATACGTTGTAATTGGTGAATTGTATGTCCTGCTAGAAAGCTTGAGCTCTGCTGTTTAGCGGACATGTAAATTGTGTGTATAGTGTAAAATAGCGCATGGTACCATAACCACTGACATGTACCATAACCACTGATGTGTATCATAACTACTGATATTACGTGAAAAATACTAAAACTACTGTTTAACCTTGCATGTGTACTAACTGATATTGTAACTTTAAAACCATACTTGTCTAAACTGTACAATAGTTACTAACCGTACCATAACCACTGACTGTAGAGACGAAATTGTTGAAATGTTATGTGATCGGTTAGTTTATGTGGATTAATAGTGTGGATAATTGTATGGTTTGAATAATAGTTACATTGATAAATGTATAGTCTTGGCATAGGCGTGCGCAGCCTATTGCATTAGGGTGTGCACCCTAAAGCACAAGCACACGCCGCATATATATATGTATGTATGTATATATATATATGTGTGTGTGTATATATATATATATATATATATACATATATATATATATATATATATACATACACATATATACACACATACACACACTGCTGTGTGTGTGTGTGTGTGTGCTGTGTGAGGGTGCTGTTAGTGTGATGTGTGTGTGATGATGCTGGTAGTGTGCTATGTGGGTGAGGGTGTTTGTGTGTGCGTGCTTGTGAGGGTGCTGTTAAAGTACTGTGTGTGAGGTGCTGTTTGTGTGTGAGGGTACTGGTAGTGTGCTGTGTGTGTGTTTGTTAGGGTCCTGTTTGTGTTTGTGAGGGTACTGTTAGTGTGCTGTGTGTGTGTGAGGGTGCTGTTTGTGTGTTTGTGAGGGTGCTGTATGTGTGTGTGGGTGCTGTGTTGGTGCTGTATGTGTGTGCGTGCTGTGTGTGTGGGTGCTGTATGTGTGTGGGTGCTGTGTATGTCTGTGGGTGCTGTGTCTGTGGGTGCTGTGTCTGTGGGTGCTGTATGTGTGTGGGTGCTGTATGTGTGTGGGTAATGTGTATGTGTGTGGGTGCTGTATGTGTGTGGGTGCTGTATGTGTGTGGGTGCTGTATGTCTGTGGGTGCTGTATGTCTGTGGGTGCTGAATGTGTGTGGTGCTGAATGTGTGTGGGTGCTGTGTATGTCTGTGGGTGCTGAATGTGTGTGGGTGCTGAGTATGTCTGTGGGTGCTGTGTATGTCTGTGGGTGCTGAATGTGTGTGGGTGCTATATGTGTGCTGTATGTGTGTGTGTGGGTGGGTGATTGTGGGGTGGAGGTGGGGGTACATTATTTGCTATCCCCCCTCCCTTCTTACCTTTTGTAGGGAGGGGGGATCGTGCTGCTGCTTCCTTCCCTGGTGGTCCTTGATGCTGTGATCCCTGGTGGTCCAGTGGAGAGTGAACTCTAACCCCTGTGGGGCTAGAGTTCACTCTCGCGAGATTTGAGCGTTCTCCTGCCTCCCTCCCTGCATGTGGGTCAGTGGGGAGGGAGGCTGAGAGCAGAGCCGGCGCTCGGATAGCGCTGGCTCTGCATGAGCCGACAGGGGAGATCCTGAGATCTCCCCTGCCGGTCTCAATACATAGGCGTGCCGCGGGGATTAGGGTGTGCCCAGGCACACCCGGCACACCCCGTGCGCACGCCTATGAGTGTTGGGTTTTTGATTTAATTTAGTGTGTGCAACGTCGTGATATTGTTGAGCGTGTGAGGATCCTGTGCGTGTGTGTACGTGTATGTTTGGGCCTAGTAACCGTGCCGCGTGGTGCTGTTGCTAATGTAACTGGTGTGACTGTTGAAACTGTTTGTATATTTATACTGCTTTGAATCAGACGCTCTGTTGAAATCATGGGTGCTTCTGATTGACAAACGGTCCTTTGTCTTGTATGTTTAAAAAAAAAAATTCTAAGGGATATGCTGTTTGTGATTATGGTGTAACACTGTCCCCCAAAAGATTAAAATACTCTGTGGAGCAGAGGACGGCCTGTTCTGGTAACCAGTGTTCCTGTGGATCCTTGATCCAGATTTAATACAGCAGGTTTACATTGTTATAAATAATATGCTGGGGCTATACGAGTAGTTTCTGTATACAGATTGTGGAAACACTGCTAAATGGATCAAGCTGTACTAAGAGGAACAATGGAGTCCATGGTAGCCAGAACCTGTTTGTCCACTAAGGCCTTAATTCCACCTAGTTTGGACACCTCCCCCCTTGCATCTGATTCCCAACCACCTAAACATCCTGACTGCCCTCTTAAGCTAAAACTGGTGTAGCTTGTATTTGCACTCCCCCTGCGCTATTGTCCCCGCCTACCCACATAACTGTCTCACATAATTAAAGTCTATCTGCTTCATTAGACTTTAGGAAGCACTCTAGGGCCACCTACTGGCTATCTTCGGGAGTTACATTGATTTACATTGTTTAAAATCCTTTTAATCATCCTTAACTCTATACTGGCATACAACAGACAGCAGTAGGACTGCTTACCCTGTTTTAATATTTCTTGTCGTAAGGTTTTATTTTAGTTATAAATATATTAAAAGTTTTATTGTTAAACCCATAAAGACTATTTTGATACAATTTTGATACAATTACTTACCCTCTCGTGACACCTACTGGCAGGTTTTTGGTTTAAACACATTTTTATTTTTCAATCACCTAATGCTGACCAGTAAAATTAACTCACCCCCTTTCACTTACCTTACTACTCCCAGATCGGAACCTGTTACTAAACAACCCTATCGAAGTCCCATACTAACTCGACAAATGACTGGTACCCTTTAATCCCGACATTTACAAATGCCTCTCCGGCTTACCCCTGGTCCACCACATATTGCCCGAATGATTAACTCAGCATTTGTCAGCATTTGTCAGCCAGGCCCAGAACAATATCAAGAGAAAATTACAAACGTTAGAGGGATTTGCAGGGATGTCCATATCACAGTTAATGGAGGTTGCAAATAAAGTATATATGAATAGGGAAACTGAGACAAAGCGTGAGGAGGAACGTAAAATGAGGAAGAAAGCAGACATATTAGCGGTAGCTATCACAGGTGTAGCGAGACAGGGAGGGGAGATGGATAGAGGAGTTGAGGCTAGGATGAGCAGGGTACCACTAGGAAGAGATCAATGTGCATATTGTAGGGAGGAAGGACATTGGAAGAGTGACTGCCCACAGAGGGGATATATTGTAGGTGGTAGACAAGATGAGAGACGGGTGCGAGGTGGTTACGGTGGTAGCTTTAGAGGACGAGGAAGAGGAAGTTTTGGAGGATTTAATGGAAATGGCAGAGGGGGTGTTCAGGAAGGAAGATATTATCCCCCTACTCAGAGACTTAGGGATAGGGAAGATAGAGATTTTGTGGGTCTGGCTGACATTGTCATGGAAGACTATTGATACCGACCGGGCTCCATCCCCCTTGGCCGAGCGGAGCCTATGGTCGATGTAACAATAGGGGGAAAGAGAAGTCCTTTCATGATTGATACAGGTGCTGAACATTCTGTGGTGACTAAGTTGGTAGCTCCTCCTTCTGGAAAGACTGTAACTGTAATAGGAGCTACTGGGAGAAGCGCTGCTAGACTGGTTCTCAGGAGTCGCAGTTGCATTTTAGGAGGCCATTTTGTGAAGCAAAAGTTCCTATATGCCAGAGTGTCCAATTCAACTTCTAGAACGAGATCTATTATCAAAGCTTCAAACTCAGATAACTTTTCTACCTAATGGATCAAAGTCTCTGAAGTTTAATAACTCACCAGGCATGATAGCAGTATTGGTACCAAAAGAAGAAGAATGGAGCTTGTACTCTGTAATAACAAATGCAAACCCTAAGAGTGATGGATCTTTATTTGACATTCCAGGAGTATGGGCAGAGAATAAACCTCCAGGACTTGCTCGTAATATCCCACCAATACATATTGAACTAAAGCTTGGGGCCTACCCTGTGAGCCTACGCCAGTATCACATACCTCAGAAGGCCAAGAAGAACATACAGACGTACTTGGATAAGTTTGTAAAGTATGGTATCCTAAAATTCTGTGCCTCCACTTGGAACACTCCTTTATTACCTGTTCAGAAACCAGGATCAGATGAGTATCGTCCTGTACAAGATTTAAGAGCAGTTAATGATGCAGCAGTTAATATACACCCAGTGGTACCCAACCCCTATAATCTGCTTGCCCTAATTCCTGGTGGGGCAACTCACTTTACAGTCCTAGATCTCAAAGATGCTTTCTTCTGCCTTCGACTTGCTGTTGAAAGTCAGTGCATATTTGTTTTTCAATTGGAAGATGCTGTTACGGGATTAAAGCATCAGATGACTTGGACCAGGTTGCCTCAAGGATTCAAGAATTCACCTACCCTATTTGGATCTGCACTGATTCCCAGGGGAATGTGTATTGCTTCAGTACGTGGATGATCTCTTGATAGCTGCAGTTACTAAAGAGATGTGCCAACAAGCAACCCATGATCTACTTCATATTCTTTGGAGGGCAGGTTACAAGGTATCAAGGAAGAAGGCGCAATTGTGTCAGCCAACTGTCAAGTATTAAGGATTCCATATCTCTGAAGGTCAAAGAACAATGGGACCTGAAAGAAAAGAAGCAGTGTGTCAAATACCTGTACCCATGAATAGAAGACAAGTGCAAGAATTCTTGGGAGCAGCAGGATTCTGTAGGATATGGATTCCTAATTATGCGATATTGGCGAAACCCTTGTATGAAGCTGTAAAAGGCACGGAACATGATCCCTTCCTATGGACCACAGAACAACAGAAGGCATTTGAAGATATCAAGAAAGCACTTATGAGTGCCCCAGCACTAGGCCTACCAGATCGCTTGCGTCCTTTCTACCTATATGTGGATGAACAAAGAATAATGGCCGTGGGAGTGTTAACTCAGTACTTAGGATCATGGCAAAGACCTGTAGCCTACTTGTCCAAACAACTGGATGTGGTGGCTAGTGGTCTTCCACCTTGTCTACGAGCAGTGGCTGCTGCAGCTTTGTTGGTAGTGGAAGCTGACAAACTTACATTGGGTCAGGAACTCTATGTGCGAGTACCTCATGCAGTACAGACCCTACTGGATTACAAAGGTAATCACTGGTTCAGCAATAGTAGAATGACCAAGTATGAGGCTATGTGATGCGAGAATTCAAGAGTACATCTTGAGACTGTCAACAATCTCAATTCAGCTACCCTTCTGCCACAGACTGCTGAAAGTCAACATGACTGTCTGGAAATAATGGATGAAGTATTTTCTAGCAGGCCAGAGCTCCATGGTTTTCCCATCCAGAACCCAGATATACAGTACTATACGGATGGTAGTAGCTTTGTAAAAGAAGGTATTCGATATGCAGGGTATGCGGTAACCACCATAGACAAGGTGATAGAAGCACGACCATTGTCGAAAGGGACATCAGGACAAAAGGCGGAATTAATCGCACTGACAAGGGCCTTGCAACTAGCTGAGGGGTTGAGAGTGAACATTTATTCGGATTCAAGAGATGCCTTATAACAACTCATGCCCATGGAGCATTGTATAAAGAAGGAGCTGTAAAGGTGGCAGAGGTGACACCATGGATTCATCACTCTAGGGTTAAACCAGCGGCAGATTCCTGGCAAGCTACTCCAGATCGTGAGAATCCTTGCAAGATCCAGTTGAAGCGCATGACCCAGTCGAATTGAGCATGACCCAGTCGAAAGTTGCAGAGATCAACAAGTAGGTGTTTTGACGGCCATAATAAAGCCTGACCACCTGCCTACGTTTCATAGTCAGAGTATTTCGAAGGGACCTCTGTGAAGGTAAGTGAGGATCAGAAGTACTACAATCCTTGCAGCCCTCACAAGCGGGAAGCTGAGGTGCCGTCGCACGGTTGAAGAATTAAGATGAGAATCAGAAGAATAATGTGTTTAATTATGTGCTTTAGTATTTTTATGATTTTTCAGGAGGGTAAAGGTAAGGATATTCCAAGCTGTGTTAGTTGTATTAAGACTACGAAAACAGGTAACCAGATATTCTAGACCCTAATTTGGCACTCACAACAATATGAATGTAAGGGATCTGTGTCTAGGTGTAGGTACTTAGATACTGATTATAGTGTGTGTCATCCGATATCAGGTGAGCCTAAGTGTTTCGATCCCCAATTCCAACCCTGTACAATTTGGTTGGTAATTCGAAATAGTAACTCTCAGGGGACATTGATAAATAGGACTTTGATAAGCACCATACATTCTACGGGTATTCTATTCTTTGATGCATGTAAGGCGATTTCGGGTAGTGTAAAACCTTGGAATGTATGTGGTAATCTTTGTTCAACAACAAATATTTATGCCCTAGTAAAAGATCTACTGATCCTGACTGCCCAAATAGAGACTTTAACTGCTGCCCATATTGGTCATGTGTAGGGTGGGCGTCCTGGGGAAAGCTAGTAGATCAAGACATGATTATCCAAAGGTTGCCCACTACACCGTATTGTAAAACTATGGAATGTAATCCCATACATATGACCATTTCCAATCCACAGCAATTTATTGATACATTTGGGAGACTTTTGGGGTTTCAGATACATGGTAAAGGAACAGATCCGGGAGCCATATAATATGTAGGTATTGAAACCGAGACAACAGCTGCTCAGACTCATCAGGTTCTCCATTCCTTTTATGAGGAGATGAGTGTTGAGGATAAAATTCCCCATAATGTTAAGAACCTATGTATTGATTTGGCTGAGAGTATTGCAGGTAGTCTTAATATAACTAACTGCTTTGTATGTGGAGTTACTAATATGGGAGACCAATGGCCATGGGAGACAAAAGAGATTTGGTACCCTGGTTCTGAGACAGTCTGATCATCAAGTAAGTACTAGAGGTAAATCAGAATGGCAGTTGAAAACATCTATTATAGGTCATTTATGTTTAGCCAGGAAAGGGCCATTGTATAATACACTAGTTGGCGACATGTCTGGGACATGTCTGGGACAGAAGGCCTATAATGCTGATACAAACAATACTACTTGGTGGTCAGCTTCAAATGTCTCAGAACCTACTAATCCTTTTGCCAATTACACCAATTTGAAAGAGGTAGGGTTTGACTTATCTGTTACATCCAATTGGAAAGCCCCAGTGAATTTATATTGGATCTGTGGTAAGAAAGCATACTCGGAGTTGCCACAAGATTGGGAGGGAGCATGTATGCTCAAACCATCCTTCTTCTTGTTACCAATTGAAATGGGAGAGACCTTGGGAGTTAAGGTTTATGATGTAAATCATAAAAAGAAGCGAACATCATTGAATGTAGGTAACTGGGAAGATGATGAGTGGTCTCTCCAACGTATTATTAATTATTATGGACCTGCTACCTGGGCTGAAGATGGTACTTATGGTTACCAAACCCCCACATATATATGCTCAACCGCATTATAAGATTACAGGTGGTGGTTGAGATCATAACCAATGAGACAGCAAGGCCCTTAACCTTTTGGCGAAGCAAAATACCCTCATGAGATCAGCCATTTACCAAAATAGGCTGGCTCTTGATTATTTGCTGGCAGTAGAAGGAGGTGTGTGTGGAAAGTTTAACCTTAGTAATTGTTGTTTGCACATAGATGATGAGGGGCAGGCAGTGATTGACATTACCAGCAATATGGTTAAACTGGCGCACGTACCCACTCAGACTTGGAACGGGTATAATCCAAATAGTTGGTTTGGGAGTTGGTATGAGCAGCTTGGTGGGATTAAGGCATTGGTAGGAGGAGTGGTATTTATTATGCCTCTTCCTGCCCTGTCTGATTCCATTAGTAGTTAGGTCTATACGTAGTGTTATTGAGAGCACTATAGAAAGGAAGACAGCTGCTCATGTAATGGCCATCTGGAAATATGAACCCATAACCCAGAGAGAGACTATTAATAATCAGGTCGATGAGTGTTGAGAGGTAATAGAGTTAAGTTAGAATAAGGTCTGTCCCGAGTCATGGTTACTTGAAAGGTGTTGGCAAATTATGATTAGTGATGCATCTGGAATAACTTTGTATCAGAAGCATCAAAGGGGGGAATGTGATGGGCTTTCAACATAGTTCAAAATTTAGTAGGCCTGAAATCTCCATGTGGCATATACAAGTACAGGTGTTTGTTGTATTTGTTAGTTAGTTACATGTAGCTAAGATACTGTCATCAATGTACTGAGCATGTGCATCAACTGTAGTCACACTCCTTTGTCCTTAAAAGGAGTCATACGGTCTGCCCATATTAGGTGATCCTGAATATCCTGTTCACTGATTGGTCTAAGGGTATGTGTGAGTGGAGCTATGAATGGGAGGAGTTATTGTTAATAAATAGCCTGTGCAAACTATGCTCTGGGCTCATACCTTGTGAACACAAGTTCAGTGTGAGACCCGATCGGTGTATAAATAAAAGACCTGTTACTTCCTGAAGACTTGTGTCCATATCTCTGTGTGTGGCTTCTGCGGTTTGTTCCTGTTATTCCTCTGGTAACAGTACAACATCATCCAAACTCCCTGAAACTCCAGGAAGTGCCTAAAGTGAGCCTGCCTTTGTACTGCAATGTAAACATTGGAGTTTCTCTAAAATTTAAATGTTTTACACTGCAGAGTTAAGGGGGGCAGGGACACTGCATCCAGACCACTTCAATGAGATGAAGTAGTCTGAGTACCTATAGTGTCCCTTTAAATTACAACCAGTGTGAATGGAGGGCTGTGGTTACAAGGAAGGGTGGGGAGAAACAATAAAAAGGACTGTAGACAATATGGGAGACTTAAAGGAGTGGCAGAGCCGCCAGCGTGAGCAAGTCTGGAAGTGTCCATGGACAAAACCCTGCTGGGAAAACAACAAGACAGAAAAGGGGGGAGAGGGGAAAGGCGCACACAACCTGGTCAATCAAGACATTAAATTGAATTCTATCTACCCAATGTAGAAAATCCCCACCATTTTAAACCAGATGATAAGGAATTAAAAGGTGGCGAAGCATCCTTTATATGCACACTGGTATACATATGTGCAAACGCAGTTACACATAAACATACACTCTTACACATATATACATGCACACATTGTTACACATATACATACACACACTCTTACACACACACACACACACACATATATATGTATATATATATATATATACACACACACACTCACATATATACACACACAGCTACACATACACACATACACTCTTACATGTATACACACACTGTTACACGTAGACAGACACACACTCCTACAAACACACATATATATATATATATATATATACACACACACACACACACACAATCACATATACACACACAGTTACACATAAATACACACGCATACACTCTTATTATTATTATCGCCATTTATGTAGTGCCAACAGATTCCGTAGCGCTTTACAATAATATGAGAGGGGTATTTGACTATAAATAGGACAATGACAAGAAAACTTACAGGAACAATAGGTTGAAGAGTACCCTGCTCAAACGAGCTTACAGTATATAGCATATTTATAGTCACATACACATTATTGCAAACCTACAATTTATGTTGCTGGCTGCTTCTGGTGCAGTATGCTAGGCAATGTGAGGGAGCAGATGTCAGCCTCTTCTCTCTCAGGATCTGAGTACTGGGCCTGTGCCTCAATTCTGACCTCAAACAGAGCAGCACACCGCCGCTCCCTCCCTCTAACCTGCAGGTTCCTGGTGCCAGCTGCGTCCCATCTTGCTGCCCTGTACTGCTGTCTTGGAGCTGGGAGGAAGTTAAATGTAATCACTTCCTCCCAGCACAGTAAGCACTTGAGGGAAGAGCCGTGGGCTGTATGTTTGACAGCCCTGATCTAGAGGTTTCTCTAGACCTACACTGATTCAATCAAGAGGCTTACCCCCAACTCCCCCCCTATAATAAGGAATCTAAGGATGGCATCTTTAGGGACCCACAGATTATATATATATATATATATATATATATATATGGAACTCTAATCTGTATGTGAAAGAATATAAATATTTATATATATATATATATATATATATATAAACATATAAAAAACAGTCAGTACACACACATATACAATCATTTGTAACACTTACTCTTTCTTTTCTGTGTGTAGAGAATCAGTTTGCTATTATTGTTTCCCTGACTCTCAGCATCTTATGCGCTTTTCTTTGCAAAAGTAACATGGTTGTCATGCATGCATTAATTGAACTATTTCTCATGGAATTGAGATGGTGGATTAATGAGTGGGTAAGGGTAGAAAGGAGGTAAGGTTGAAGAAACTCCCCTAGTTGAAAGGCGTGCCAGACAAGGCACACTGACAAAGTTAGACCTTTTCTTGCTTTATTTTAATTTGTATATTTGTGTAACAGTGTTTGCTTGCTGTAAAAAAAAAAGTCAAATAGTATATGTCTCTTCAATGTTTAGGCTTTTCTGCATTTTATTAGTACATGCACCAGCTAATTTTTACTCTGTTGTAGCAAAACGATTAGATTGAAAAATCAATTACTTAAAAACCATTATCACCATCTTCAAGATGATATATACAGAAATGACCAAGGTAGGTAGGTTGCCAACAAAGCTTACACTCCCATGGACGCTATATGCTTAATATTTCTCCTCGATTTTAAAAATAAATGAATTAATAAATAAGAATAACTTTTTCTAATTATGCGCATCTTGCATTTTGGCTTAATTAATATGTACTGTTAACCAATGACACAGCATTTTAACCCCTTAAGGACACATGACATGTGTGACATGTCATGATTCCCTTTTATTCCAGACGTTTGGTCCTTAAGGGGTTAAAGTACAAGTTCTAAGAATCTGCAGTATATATATACACATACATACATAAATGTACAAAGTAGAGTTCAGAATTTGGGATAACTAAATATTTACACACCTATGTACACACATACACACTATATATATATATACACATACATACAGTAGAGGCCATAATTGAGAGAAAACTAAATATTTACAAAGTCTATACATCTAACTATAAGCTGGACACATTTACACAATATTGATTCCGATAGATCATAATGTTTTATTTTTGGCATTTTACGCACATGTGTGTCTATTCTGTTGGAGCTGGTTCCAGTAGCGGACTAACTCATGAGGCCTGAAGTCATGGGACGTAACTATCCGGTTGTACATACAGTCAGAATATGCAACCCTCCAGTGATTGAAATCAGATGGGCTAGGTGGAGGTACGGGTTTAATTCCCAATTTGTTAAGACAAATCCCTATATAAACATCTTCTAATGGCAAATGTTTCACAGTTAAAGTGATTTTAAATATCTTTTCTGCCAGCTCCCCAGAGAACACATAACCAGTGCCAGAACAAAACACAGGGTACATGTCTCCTGGGTACAAATCTGGTGGCATGTACCATTTACTGTCTTTGTTACGATTCGGTGCATATCCTTTCATTATAGATCCTGTAAAATAATTGGTCCTTGGAGGAAGATCTGGCTTCAGTAGCTTGTTTATTAAATATTCAGTATTCACAAACATATCAGTGTCTGTCTTCATGACATAGTGTGCGTGTGGACAATATGTGGCCACCCAGTTCATTCCCATTAGGGTTTTAGTGGTCAGATTGTTGTAGGTGTCTAAATATTCCTGCTGGATGATATCATGATATTGCATACTTTCCCTGGTTATGGCCTGTTCAATGTCAAATGTTTGTTGAGTGTGTCGACCTAGCAAAAACAACCTTACTACTTGGACACCTGGTATAACATTTTCATTTCCCCAAGTTTGCCTAATAGCTTGACGAGCATCTAGATGTTGTGGTGTTGCAGCTATCAGCAAAATTAGAAAGGGAATGTGTGTTTGACATTTCATGGGCTCATTAATGATATAATCATAGAACTGAACTCCCTGAGATGCAGCACGCAATTGTCCCATGGGCATAATCTGTAATAATCTTTGAGTTGATTGACTGGTTTTATCTTGAGGTTTCTCATGGGAAGAAGAGTAAATCATATTCTTTGCAATCCAAGCAGAGTTGTTAATGTTACTTTTTTTCCCCTTGAAGACACGTATGTTGTGCAACTTCAGATTGTCTTCATTAACCAATTTTCTTGGAAACCAGCTATAACTGCTTAGCATCAGCAACATGAAAAGCAGGAACACCAAAAATACAAATCCTGTTGTAAAGCATGGAGAGACGAAGGTTCTGGAGAGGCGCTTCAGCCAAGGGGGACAACAGTGGATTCTCTTCCAGAAAAGCATGATACAATTTCCCTAAAGAATAATGCAGTGCCTGAACTTCCACCATCAACCACAGCTAATCACACAGCATTCCCATGCTCCGATGCTCCTCTTCTGAGACTGCAAACGCCATCTACAGAAAAACAAAGCAAAGCACTCTGAAACTCAAGTTCTTACCTTGATACAACTAAAAAATGTCTTGGTTTACTCCTGTCCAATACACTCTGTTTCCTTGATAATCTTCTGCTGTCTACAATTTAGCCTCTTTTCTCTAAAAGGGTTCTTCACTACAGTAAGAATTGTTGGGAATTCACTTTGAAATCTCACTTTAGTGAATAACCTAGTACACATTAAAAACACCATATTTATGAGTATAGTTGTTTTGCGTGGTTGTTTAACAGTTTGTAATTCAGTGGGAATATATGAATATTCTTTTTGTACAATCATATTCAGGCATTCAGTCTAACATTCATATTCACATTCCTAGCTAAACAAAAGCAAATTCAGTTTCAATACCAAGTGAAGAGTCTGGGACAAAAGCAGCAAAAGATGACCAACAATATTAACAACCCCAGATTAGACTATCAACAATAACTTGGCCTGAAGTATCACAATCTGAATCTGCCATGATTCACTATTTAATAATCAGGTATATTCGATTGATAGTCTGATAGCAAAAATAGTCAAGCTGGAAAACCAGCTCAATATTTCAATTCATCACGGCTGATTTAGTGAAAACAACCCGCTGTATTTCAAGAGTTCTTTTTCTGAAGTCAGAATAATGCCTAAAATCATTTTATCCCTGGCTTCAGTCCAGTGGCATACTAAGCAGAAGGCAAGAGGAGGGAGGTCTGCCCTAGGTGTCACTGATCAGCATATTTATGTATGTGTGTGAGTGCATAACTAGATGGCTGCGCACCAGCCCGTGAGACACAGAGCAGAATCCCAGTGGGTAGCGAACTGTGTTTTGCTACTAACCACCTTCCTTATTTTTGTCTGTCCATACTTTTACTTGTTACAGTATTTTACATTATTTGCCACTGTTCGTTACTTATAAGAAACAAGTAACAAGCGCTATGTTATACCATTCGTCTGGTTGTTCGGTAAGAATCTAATTGCAACCATATTAAGTCCTACCATTCGACAAACGGACAAACTACCGAGCAACCAGGCCACACCGGAGAGGAGCGTGGCTCTAATTGACCCCCCCATCGTTATTCACACTACCTTAATTGCTAACCACACGAACGCACTGGGTATTCCCTGGGTGGCCGCCGTTCGGCATACGTGGCACGTGGCGGCGGCCATCTTGTCATACGAACACTCCAGCGGTGTTGGGTCATCGAGTGTCTGGAACCCAAATCGGACACTCAACAGCGCGAACACAGTAGAGACCTCCATGCCCCCACCCGTTCGTGGAGAACAGAACGGCATTCGGTGAAAAGAATCATACGACCGAGGGGAATCATACGAACCAAGACAAAACCCATTATGTAGACCTTTTCGTGCTTTTCAACCGCATGAATGGAAACCGACCGCAAGGCCAAAACACATGGAACTATCTCTGGCTTACACCTCGTGTGCGGTCGGTGAAATTAAGACCTCCATAAAACTTTTGAACCCCTGAACCAATCTGGGAGTTTTTTCAGTATGTTGCTCCCCCAGATCGGGGCTATCAGAGGATATATGAATTATAGGTGTATGGTATTGTTTTGGGGTACATCTGAGAATTGGGGAAAACTGTGTTCTAAAACTTCTATGTAATTAAGTTATCTCTCATGCTGAGGGGAGGGAATATGTGAACTGTATCCAGCCCTGGATTGGCTGATGCCTTTTTCTTTGTGGGTGTCTCCCTGGCATGGGAGAAATGTATAAAAGCTGAGTATGTGATTAAAAGTTCAGTTCTGCTCCTGATACTGAGTGTCGTCCAGTTATTGGGAAAAGGTGATGGGAGATTCACGGATTTCTTTATTGACTACTTATGCTGTTCTTCTGGTAATATCCTGCTTGTTCCTGAGTAACTATTGGAATATCAGTGGAGAAAAATCTATGTTAAACTAGCCCTCCGCTACACACAGGGTGACCTGCAGGATGGGAGGCGCTCCTCTCCTGCCGGTCACAGAATGTAGCATGAACGAGCGGCAGACCACATTAGAGGAGTTTCTGTTACTCTAACCGGTCTGACAGGTCCCAAGTGCTCACTGACAGCACAGAACTGCTTCCTGTCAGACCGGCTACAGTGAACAGGAGCTCCTCTACCGCGGCTCAGCCAGGAAGTACAGGAGGGACTGTGGAGGGGGAAGTAGGACACATGGAGAGGATGAGTGGGATTGGGACACATGGAGAGACTTGGGGAAGGGAAATGGGACACGTGGAAAAGCTGGCGGTGAGAGAATGAGACACATTGAGAGGCTGGGGAAGGGGGATGATGGGAGACATGGAGAGTCTGGGGAGGGGAATGGAACTTGGAGGGGCTGGGGAGGGGGGAAATTGGATACATTGAGGTGCGAAATAAGACATCTGGAGGGGCTGGTGGTGAAAGAGACACGTAGAGGGGCTGGGAAGGCTTGGGGTCAAACAGACACACACAGAAGGGCTGTGAGACAAAGGGATACACAGAGAAGGCATAGGGGCACAAAGAGACATACAGAGGGGCTATGGGGGACAAAGAGAGACACTCAAGGGTTGGAGGATAATGAGACACAGAGAGGGACTGGAGGGGGATGAATAAACATTAGATGGGCTGTGGGGACAATGAGACACACAGAAGGGCTGGGAAATGGGAAAAAGAGACCCACAAAGAGGTAAACAAAAGGGGAGGGGGAAAAATTATACACACATTATTGCTGGGAGGGAGATACACACAGAGAGGAAGGGGCAAAAGAGACACATTAAGGGGTTGGGGAGAAACAGATACGTAAAGGGACTGAGGGAAGTAAGAAGCCTGCCAGCAAGCCACAGTCGGACAGCACACAGCTACCAGCCGCAGCCAGGCTGACTGCCAATCTCCCACAGCAGCCAGCCAGCCTGCCAGCTAGTCTGCCAGCTACAGCAGCCAGCAACAGTAATTAAGGTGAGAAGAGCCAACTTGGCCTGGGTATCAGAGACCTATACATTACAATATTGTGAATTGGGACAAGTGACTACATTGTGGTCTCTAATGGGGCATTGAGGGGACTCTTTCTAACATACAGTTTACAGATTTGTGCAATAAATATTCTTGAAAAAATTTTTTAAAAATTGCAGGTGTTTTTTACATTTTAAAATTAGGGAGATGGTGCCAAATACAGTGTCCGCCCCGGGTGCCAAGTTCTCTAGGTACCACCCTGCTCCAGTCTAATAATTTACCTTGTGTATCTCAATTATGATTTCAGATTCACCATAAAATGGGCTGTCCAGCAGTATGTAAAATGAATAAGCTGCAGAATTTTATGTCAGGACTGGAGGCTTCATATTTTCTTTACCTTCTTTACTGAAAACCTCCAGCAGCAAAGAAACAGTTAACAGAACTTTTCAAACAACCAATAAGAACAAAACAGGCATCAGTATAAAACCACTGAGGCAGACCCTCCCACTTCCTCTTTCTTTGCTGCTGCCTCCAGGTGAGCACTCACCAACTCAGAGTTGTCTCTGCTCTGGGTTATATTTTGTTTTTCATTTATGCTATTGATGTGTTTTTTGCTCACTAGTTACTCTATGTGTTCTATTTGGGGTAGTGCCTCCTGACCCACGACGGGGTTCAGGGTGTTTGGGGGTGGTTTTTCCCTTATTGCCCTTGCTCTGGGCTCCCCTGGGACTTTGCCTCCGGCCGCCTCCTCCGCGGCCCAGTTCGGCGGTTCCCTCCCGGGTTCCTGCCTTCCTGACCCCCCTCGCTCTTCCCCTACCCTCCCTCCACGGCCCATTTTGTTGGAGCCGCGGCGGCCATCTTTGCGGAGCCGCGTGGCCTCTGGGCACACACAGACGCCCGGGCCTTAAACTGAGGGTGACCCCCTCCAATTGCATTATATGCTAGTGCTTGCTGGGTGACCCCCTCTTGCACGCTGGGTGACCCCCAGCCGGCCCTATTTAGGTACCTCACTGATTGTACCTTTCCTCTATTCCAGTAAAATATTACCATGGCAGATGACACAGGCTTACACGCCCCTGAAGGCCTCCAAGCATGGCTGTGTGCCACCTTGGCGGACTCTTTACCCAAAGCCCTCGCTGCCCTCCATGGGGACGCCCCACCCGCCCCTGCGGGTTCGACACCTGGACCCTCTGGCGCACGGGACTCTGAGTCTGGGGGCTCCCTACACTCCACCGATTTGGGCTCGGCACGTAAGAGGCCTTGGTTGGGCCCAGACGCCCCTACTGACAAGGGCAAGATGCCTGCCAAACTGGCCAGACTGGGCACCGGATCGGGTGGCCGCACAGAAGAAAGGGCACTCTCTGGGGATCCAGGCTACGACATCCTGGATGAATATCGGGCCGGCGGATCTGGCTCCGCATCACCCGGAGAAGGCGCTCCTGACCGTTTTTCCCAATATGTGCGTGAGACGGTACTGGACTCTACTCTGCCCAGCTCGCAGAAAGCCTCTGCCGCTCGTGCTGATGAAACCAGTGAGATTTTGGATCCCTCGGGTCTTCCGCTCTTCGACCCTCGCCTCCTCAAACATCCTCGCTCCGCAGAATGGACACCACCGGACCACATCGCGGAGTTCCTCCGCTACTGGTTACGTCACCCATTGGACAAGGAGGTCAGAGTGAAGCTTCGGGCTGAATGCCCGCGCCCGACGCTACTGGACAAGGTAGCAATCACACCCGACTTTGACCCGGTGTTCGCGACCTTTATGACAAGGTCAGGGAAGGATCCCCGCAAGGGCCTGGAACAGGGTCTGCGCTCCGCCCAGGACAAACTCCTCGATATTAGCGGTCCGCTGACCCAGATCTTCCTCATGGCAGATGACTCCCTTCAAGGCGGTCCGGCAGTGGACGCTTACCTCCTCCGAGAGTGGGCACAGAGGGCAATATGCCTCCTGGGAAATGCCAATGTGGCGCTAAATTCGGAACGCCGCAAGGCGGCACTTTACAAGTTGGATGGAAAACTGACCGACCTAGCCTCCAAAGAGCTGGGCCCGGAGGCCAAGGGTCTGCTCTTCGGAGACGCATTCAGGAAAGAGCTAAACCGGCACGTATCCATCTACACATCCTTGAACAAGGCGCAACTATCACTATGCAGAGTTTTCCGTGCTGGGGATCGTTTTTCCTCCAGGGCTGGTCGGCACCGGGGGCCGCGCCACCAGCAGAGCTGCCTTCATGGGCAACAGGCCCCGCATTTCGGAGTCCTTCTCCTCCTCCTCTCAGTACCAGTACCGCCCATTGTTTTCACAAGGACCGACCAGAGGCCGAGGTGCCCCCTCCACAAGAGCAAGATACGCCTCAGGTAAGAGTCATACCTTATTTACCACACATACCCATTGCGGGCAGATTGTGTCCCTTTTCTCCTCAGTGGGGGGCCATCACAGAGGATCCGTGGGTTCTACAGGCAGTGTCCGGATTCAGGATCGATTTTGTGTCAACCCCGATACAGACCGCTGCCCCGCGGCCCATCCGTATGGACAGAGAGGCGTCCAATCTGGTCCACGCAGAGATACGCGCCCTGTTGCTCAAGGGTGCGGTGGAAAGGGTGACAGGCCCACCTCGCTTCTTGAGCAATATCTTCCTGGTAAGGAAGAAATCAGGGGATTTCCGCCCAGTGATCAACCTGCGTGCCCTCAACGGATTTGTCGTCTACCGACATTTCAAAATGGAGGGCATTCATCTCCTCAGGGATCTACTTCGCGAGAACGACTAAAGGATGCGTACCTTACGGTCCCGATCCATGGGGAGGACAGGTGCTTTCTTCAGTTCATCTGGCAGGGACGCACTTGGCAATTCACGTGCCTCCCGTTCGGCCTCAGCTCGGCTCCGTGGTGTTTCACCAAGCTGTTGAAACCAGTCATGGCGACACTGAGGGCCAGGGGGATCAGATCGATCGTCTATCTGGACGATATTCTGTTGATGGCACAAGATCCCGACGTTCTGCGTCAGCAGACGGCTTTCACTATCCGCCTGCTCCAGGACTTAGGTTTTGTCATCAATGTGGAAAAGTCGGAACTGACCCCCTCCCAATCGGTCCAGTTCCTCGGCTTTATTGTGGATTCGGTCCAGACGCTTCTCCGTCTGCCAGTATCCAAGGTGGCTGCCATCAGGAAGGACATCAGACGTCTACTCCGCAACCCGAGGACCACCCTACGGGATCTGGCCAGGACGATAGGTCTACTTTCGTCCTCCATTCAGGCCATTTTTCCAGGGCCCCTGCACTACCGGGCTCTTCAATGCCTGAAGGCTCGATACCTTCGTTCATCCTCTTCCTACAACCAGGCGGTATCACTGTCAGACGAGGCCCGTCTGGAACTGCACTGGTGGCTTCGACACATGGAGGCGTGGAACGGCAGGGCAATCTTCGGGACCAAACCGGATTTCGTCCTGGAATCGGACGCCAGCTGCCTAGGTTGGGGCGCTGCTTGCAATGGCGTGGCGACAGGAGGACTTTGGACCCCGGAAGAAAAAGCTCTTCATATCAACTGTCTGGAGCTGATTGCGGGGTCATTTGCAATCCGCAGTTTCACCAAAGGGAAGAGTCATTGCTCTCTGCTCCTGCGCATGGACAATGTCTCAGCTGTCCGATACATAAACTGACTGGGAGGTTCCCGATCCAAACTGCTGTCGGATCTCACGAAGGATCTGTACCAATACTGTCTGGACAGGAAGTTGTCGATCGTAGCGGAATATCTTCCGGGGCAAGACAATCTCGTGGCGGACTGGTTCTCCCGCCACTGGAGGGACGCCAGCGACTGGCGACTTCACCCCCCGGTGTTTTGCAAGTTGGATCTTCTGCGTGGTCCCCTCCATCTGGACCTATTCGCCTCCAGGGCGAATCGACAGACGGAACGGTTCTTCAGCTGGCTCCCGGATCCCCTCAGCATGGCGGTGGATGCGTTCCTTCAATCATGGCCCCCGTCGGGGGCATATGCGTTTCCCCCCTTCTCCATGATCCTGCGGACGCTACATCGCATCAAGCTTCTGAAGGTGTCGATCGTACTGGTGACACGTCTATGGAGAAGTCAGCCGTGGTTCCCTCTGCTGCTGGAACTATCGTGCAGGGACCCTCTAGTACTGCCTGCCTCCAGATTTCTCCTACGGGACCCAGGGGGGAACCCACATCCGTTGATGGTGGAGGATCGACTAACCCTGGTGACCGGGACCGTTTCCGGGGTTCCTGGGATGTGTCGGGACTATCGACTATGGCTAGAGAATTACTCTGGGACTCTTAGGCACCTGGCACCAGAAGATCATATCTACACGCCTGGAGCTCCTGGCATTGCTGGTGTCTGGAGAGACATTTGGATCCCTTTACGGCCCCTGTTATGGCCGTCCTGAACTTCCTGGCTGAATTGTTTTCTCAGGGTAAGTCTTATAGGACTATGAATGTTTTCCGCTCAGCTATCTCAGCGGCTCATGTTCCTTTCCAAGGCACGGGGGTTGGTAGAGAATCCTCGGTCTGCAGACTACTCCGAGGGGTGAGACTTGCGAGACCCCCTGCTTCTCGCTATTCCTCATTTTGGGACGTATCCCTCATTTTACGTTTCCTTGAGGAATGGCCCGATGATGGGGATCTAGCTCTACGCCAGCTCTCTGCCAAGCTGGCCCTCCTGTTATGCCTTGTATCTTTTCGTCGGGTTTCGGATGTCCGGGCCTTTGACGTAGAATCTTTTTCTTTTTATCCGGATGGTGTCTCTGTGTCCATCACACGCAGGCAAAATCTAATTCGTCTTCAGTGTCCTATCCCTACTTTCCAGATAGACCATGTCTCTGTGTGGCACGTTGTTTACGGACATATATCTCTGTGACTTCGTTATGCCGGCCTTCCGCGCGTGGTCAGTTATTGATTTCCTACATCCGACCGTTTGGGGCTGTGTCTGCACCCACGATCGCTCGTTGGATTCGATGGCTCCTCTCTTTGGCGGGTGTGGCTAATTCATTTGGGGCTTATTCGGTTCGGGGCGTTCCTGCATCAGCAGCTCTTGAAGCTGGTGGGTTACTGGTGGATATTCTCAACGCCGCTGACTGGTCTAGAGAGTCAACTTTCCGTACCTTTTATTTTCGTCCACGCTCTCATGTTTCTTCTGTTTTCATGTCTGGAAGTTAAAATTGCAAATATGAAGCCTCCTGTCCTGACATAAAATTAGGGATTATTCTAGCCTCGGTGAGGGAATAATCTAAATTTTATTAAAGACAGGAGGCGAATATTTCCCACCCTTCTTGTTTCCCACCCGGGAATTGGATTTGTTTTGCCTTTATGTTAATTTGGGTTTTGTTGTATGCGTTTTCATGTATGGCTCAAATTTATTTTAATAAACACTTTTTACTACAATTGGTTATCAGTGTACATTCATTTATCAGCTTGTGGTCTATTGAGGCGCTGATTGTGTTTGGTATGACATTCTGCTATGGCAGTTTACTTTCACGATGTTTCTTTTCTTTTACAGTGTGATCTGAACTGTTCTGGATATGGCGGTTTCTCATCCGAGTTTGCCGGTTTCTGCTTTCGTTTGGTCTTCATGTTCTCCTGCTCGACCTCATCAAAGAAAGAGGAAGTGGGAGGGTCTGCCTCAGTGGTTTTATACTGATGCCTGTTTTGTTCTTATTGGTTGTTTGAAAAGTTCTGTTAACTGTTTCTTTGCTGCTGGAGGTTTTCAGTAAAGAAGGTAAAGAAAATATTCGCCTCCTGTCTTTAATAAAATTTAGATTATTCCCTCACCGAGGCTAGAATAATCCCTAATTATTAATTGACTAATGACTTAATTTCCTTCCTACCTACTTTCCTGCACTTTTTTGCACTGTCCATCAATATGTATTGGTGCGCACATCCCTACAACAAGAGGTATCAATCTGGTAGGGAGGGATAGGAAGGGCTGGTATGCCTCCTAAAGAATCAATCTTGTCCAGTTAAGTACAACCCTCACAAAAAGAAAGCGTGCCAGCCATGCACTGATTGCCTCTCTAGCTGGCCCCACTCAGGGCAGCCTATGCTCCTGACGCACTCTGAGAATGAGATGATGTGTGTGTTGAAAAATATGGTGGATATTGCAAACATTGTCCCCATGATCCAATAAAGCATTGCTTATTGCCCTCTCAACAACAACAAATAAGGGTGGTCCTTATGCTGGGTATTGCCAAAGAATACATGTGTGGGCTAAAATTTCATCCTAAGTGACCTTGACTTGGTTTTCCCCTCTATGGGTTTTCCCCACCCTTCACCCCACCATTTGATGGTCTGCTCTGTAGAGAGACGAGAACATGAATTCCTGCCAACAGTTCCAATGGACAAAGAGGGACATTTTAATTTTAGGGTTGTGAGTGAGGATGTGGCCTGGGACTGGCCTGTTATGATAAATGTTAGGTGACCAACAAAAATGTATAAAACTAAGCATGTAATTTATTACATGAACAATGTATATTATTTACAAAGACTGATTTGTGCACATTTATTGTAGTTTAAAGACACATTACTATGTGTATTATCGCTCTGTTATACTCTGTCAAACAAACCAACAATATGGAGCCCATAGAAACAAGAAACTTTAGGACAGAAAAGAGGGACAGAGGTATACAGGGACTGACCATCAGAAATAGGAAGTGTTGAGAGGTATAAACTTGTGTACCCCACAACCAGGGCTGGATTAACATAGTGGCTAATGGAGCTGCAGCTCCAGGCCCAGGCCCATGGAATAGGCCCATTGATTTTGAAAAAAAAAATAATTTTTTTTTTTTTTTTTTTTACACATTACTCTAATAATAATACCTGGCTGGTATTTTATGGTATTTGACTCCCTGGCCAGTGCCAGTATTGCAGTAAAACCGGCAATACACATGCTGGCATATTTCTATGTATAAACAGAGATTACTCTGCAATACCTGCGCTGGCCAGTAGGGGTCACTGTGTGTGGAGAGAGGCAGGGATAGGTAGTTACAGCATATCTCTGCCTCTCTCTACACACTGATCCATGGGGGAGCAGCTACACAGCACAGAGAGTCCAGACAGCAGCTCCCAGCCTGCAGAGACAGCCTACAGCTCAAGGAAGTGAGGAATGGGGTAAAGGCTGCAGGGAGACATGGGGACACTGGGAGACACTAGGGGACACTGGGTGACCTGGGAACACTGAGACACTTGGGGGCACTGAGAAACCTGGGGACACTGGAAGATCAGGGGACACTGAAACACTAGGGGACGCTGTGAGACACTAGGCACTTGGGGACACTGGGAGACATGGGGATACTGAGACACTGTGTCCCTAGCGTCTGTGTCCCCATGTCTCCTAATCTCCCCAAGTCTCTCAGTGTCCGCATGTCTCCCACTGTCCCTATGTCTCAGTGTCTCCCAGTGTCCCCTAGTGTCAAAATGTCTCACAGTGTTACCATGTCTCTTAAGTGTCCCCTAGTGTCCAAGTGACACTGGGCAACATGGGGACACGAGGGGACACTGGGAGACATGGGGTACTGAAACACATGGGGCACTGAAACATTGTGATACATTGGGACACTGTGATACATAGAAGACACTGAGACAGGGGGACATGAGGGGACACTGGGACACATTGGGCACTGAAACAGTTTGATACATAGGGGACACAGACACTAGGGGATACTGGGAGACATGGGGACACTGAGACACTGTGTCCCTAGCGTCTGTGTCCCCATGTCTCCTAATGTCCCCATGTCTCTCAGTGTCCCTAGTGACTCAGTATCCGCATGTCTCCCACTGTCCCTATGTCACAGTGTCTCCCACTGTCCCCTAGTGTCAAAATGTCTCACAGTGTTACCATGTCTCTTAAGTGTCCCCTAGTGTCCAAGTGACACTGGGCAACATGGGGAAATGAGGGGGCACTGAGACAATGTGATACATAGGGACACTGTGATACATAAAAGACATGGGGACATGAGGAGACACTGGGACACATGGGGCACTGAAACACATAGGGGACACAGACACTAGGGGATACTGGGAGACATGAGGACACTGGAAGACTCGGGGACACTAAGACACTGGGAGACAGGGAGACACTGGTAACAATCCATCTTTTATTCAGCAGAATAATTGTGAGTAGTTTTTTTGGTGATTTTACAGAATTTTCTCTTGGGTCACTCCTTGTGATTTACACGCATACATAATTAATTATGCAAATTAGTAATTTTACCCTGTCCTGCTTCACTGGACATTGCTGTTAGGGGTATGGATTTACTTGAAATATGAAAGGATAAATTAGAGAAGGATTAGCATAGAGTGTGTGTTTTCTCATAGCTGCATCCTATGAATTTCCCTTCAGCACCACTTCCGCCAGATACATGACGATTGGTAGGTATGACTATTTTAGTGGTTTTGGTCGATAAAATTCTGTAATTAGGCCCATCATAATTGTCAGCACCAGGCCCACTGGTCTCTTAATCTGGCCCTGCCCACAACAAAGTTGTGTTACTTGACAAAGTTGCTCGTTACATGTGCTATTCGGTACCCTGGAAAAGTGCTATGGTTTCAACAAAACATGGTGGATCTGGCAAAACTAGTTAAATCTGAGTTACAAAAATGAAAATCACTCAAATACATCTCAAGGAATGTACATTCTTGAGCAACTCAGAAACAATATTTTTTTTAATTTTGTTTTGTTTAGGATTAAAGGTTAAGGAAAACACCCAATTCCAGGGGAGGAGAGTTGAAACTGCCTTGCAACTTGTCATTTTTTTTTCCTGATTATATTTTACTAGAAAATTGACAGACTATAGTGCATTACCAAAAAAGCTGCATTCAGGAAATATCTGCGCTAGGGATGTTAGTGTTACTGATATGCCCAATAATTTCTTTTAGGTTGATTGTTTTGAAACTCAAAGCTAATGAAATGAACCATTTAATATATTTTTTAATTACTGTATTTAAACAAATGGCAATGAAAATTATTGAACAATTAAGTAGGCATGCCACAAAGAAAATATGCATATATTTTTTTCTGCATGCTTTTTATGGGAGTTTATTTAAAAAAAAAAAAAAGTTTATGGAAGCTACAGACCCGCTGTCTGCAGCCATCTCCGTCTTTCCCATACACCAGGGAACACTCCAATCAGTGGCTTCTATTTGAGAACGAGATTACGTCTTTCCTATGCTTTGCACTGAGCTTTAGCTTAGCGTGTCTGCTACTTCTGCTAGCTCTGTGGAGATAACAGAAGAAAATCTCCCTCGTCATCACTGCCCCTATTTATACAAGTGTTAGTTGCTATCAAATCTGATCTTTTATGAACTGTCACAAATATGACACACTTAGCTTGATTGTTCCTTTAAACCATAAAACAAATCAGTGTGTTGATTGTTCCTTGTTGTTTGTGCTGAAGGGCAGTACATGAAAAGTGTTTATAAACTGCCCAACAACATTTATATTTCCTGTCCTAACGTGTCTTATACCCCACCTCCTGTAGACTGTAAGCTCGTTTGAGCAGGGTCCTCTTCAACCTATTGTTCCTGTAAGTTTTCTTGTAATTGTCCTATTTATAGTTACATCCCCCCTCTCATAATATTGTAAAGTGCTATGGAATCTGTTGGCGCTATATAAATGGCATAATAATAATAATAATAATAATAATAATGACACAAAGAGAAAGGTCCAGGCACACAAGGTTAAATGCAGTGCATGCTTTATCTGACATGAAAGGCACTGTTCTGACCAAGAAAAGACGAGCCATCAATATTTATCAGTGAAATACATCCACGAAAATATGGCAAATTGCCCAGTCACTAGTTTCAAAATTTCAGTAGAGATGCTCCCATCTTCCGCATGTCATGTGTTGGCATGGGGAGCTATTATACTCTCTCTTGGTAAGAAGTCTGGTACATGGTTATCTACTTAAGTGAAATTTCAAAGTGAATTTAACATTTATCTGAAATGAAAGCATAGGCGACATAGAAAGTTAATTTGGTTTGACTATTTTGACCTTAAATATGAAATTCACATTGAATTCTAACTGTAGTAAATAACCCTGACGGGTTTTGTGGGTGACACATGCACTAAACATTTTAATATCTTAATCCTCAATTCCTGCTCAGCCAAATTTCATAAATATCTCACAGGTGAATGGATGACAGGCATGCACTGTTAGTGCTAGAAATAGCTTACAAAACAAACATCACAAAAAATGCAGTTTAAGAAGGTCTGTCTGGGAAAAACAGAAGGTAAAATGCCAAAGAAGGGGGGTAGAGCCTGACTTGCAAACTGAATGGACGCATGTTGGAGGGGCTCCCGATAATCAGCTGATTTCCTGGGAATACTCCCTGAACCCAAGAGGAAACCAACGCCAAACAGCGCTACTTATATATTGCCCTGGCAAGCATCTTGACACGTTTCCCTGGCATTATCACTATTGGGAGCACGAGGTGGTTTAGTGCAGCCTGCAGGTGACGGAGCTGGGGAGTTGGTGGCTGCTCTCCCCTCCTTTGCATCGGCAGTGCGGACCCACTAACCTCCTACCCCACACCCCCCGGAGCGGTGGGGAGAGATCCCGGCCCACTGCTGGAGGGCAACCCGGATGTGAAAGGCACAAGGAATAGTGCCGAGTGAGTCAACTGTGGGCACAGAGTCACGCAACATTGAGGATGCCACGTGCTCCTCAAGTTATTGTGGTGAGAGGCCTGACCTCGCGACCTGGCTGGATAACATATTTGCTGCCTTCTGGGAAAAACAAACACTACGACAAGCTACCAGGCAAGAAGCAAATGTTAACCCACCTATGGAATCGCACCTAGCACAGGCTCATGGCCGTTAGAGTGCAGAGAGCGGGAACAAGTGGCGGATCAAGCGACCTCTCCCACCTGCACAAGCCAGTCCACAGATGAGGAGGGATGCAGTTAGACTCCACCACAGGAGACTGGCTGCACGAACTGTAACCTTCTACCTACATCGGCACGAACCGGAGATCACAAGGGAGACCAGGAAATATTGAGAGCGATATGCTGCGAGCACCGGCTGCGAATACCTGCTTTTTGGGGCCTGAAATCACTCTGCATAACACCGGACTGTGCTCTACCTCTCGAAGGCATTGGTTGAGTGGGGACAACTGGTAGGAAACACAGCCATTTATTCTCACACCTCCTGTCTTTTCATATAAGCGATACATACCATTGCATTTGCATGCTGGACAGCTTTTTCCTTTTGATTTTGAAGTTTTTATCTGAGTCTGCTGGTTCCCACACACACAACATTACACCCTCACCTTAGAGTGTACATAGCTGCCGTAATGGGGGAGCCCTCTGGGAGAACAAAGTTACTGGACATTTCATGCCCCGTTCTGCTAAAAGCGTAAAAATTGGAAATGTCTTCTTTAAGCTTGTTTTCTTATACACTTATGCCCTAAATTGTCAGCATGTTAAATTGATTTATTTCCACACCTGCCTTGCCATGTGTCTGACATGTTAATCATCCTGTTATTATTTTACCTTAACATTTAAAACTGTGCTGTACTTCTCATATGCCATAAAACTGACTGTACTTGACGTAATTGCTAATGATATTGTGGCACAGCAAGATTACCTGTTATCTCTATTCACATGCACGGCAACAATAAAGAATTTTTAAAAAGGCAAAAGTAGTGCTCTTTGGTAAGTAATAAAAATTTTACGACTTAACTGAGTTATAACATGGACTTTTACCAACTTTCACTTAATTGTAACTTTTTCTTAAAGGAACACTCCAAGCACCATAACACCAACAGCACACTATAATTGTTATGGTTTCAAGATTGTCTGGCACAAATCCATAGCTCTAAGCCCTGCAGAAATGGGCATTGTAATAAGAGCTTTTGGCTACAAGAAGAGGCTGGGGGCAGCACCTGGCAGATCCCTAGTAATACCTTACAGGCAGGGATAATGGTACTTGGAGAGTTCATTTAAAGTATACCTGTCAAAGAAGAAACAACCTCATTATACTGGATAAGGCATATAGGAGCCACGTATTTAGATGCCAGTGTGCTTGCAGTGAAGTGAGCATGTTGGCGTCATGGAGAAAGATTGTCCTGCCCGGGCGTGTAACCAATGCCAATGACACTAGAGTAGGACCAGTGGTGGATGTTACAATACTATAACATTCAGAGTGCTCAGGACACAGAGATGGTGGAATCAAGGTAACTAAAAATAAAATCTAGACATTTTAACAATAAATACATAATAATCTCTATGATACATTATGTATTCTTTACCTATGGGGGCGATTTCAGGTAAAGTGAATCTGTAACAACAAATTCACTTTACAGGACAGCATTTTTTCTTATACCTTATGAAACCATTAGATGCATGACCTATATAAAATTGAAATAATTGAAAAACTATGTTTTTTACAATATTGTGTACAATCATCTAAATGCAACTCACTGAGCCACACAAAAATTAAACACCTCAGGGATCATATCTGGATTTATACTCACACTTTTCATGCATTCATTTTGCTGCCAAATCTCTGCAATGTTTGTGATACTATTCTGTTGGGTTTTTGTATTTTTTTTTCTAATCTCTTTTCATACGTTATTTGCATTTTGCAATGTACATTGATATATAGTGCTGAAGGTACTGAGACTGCCCGTATAATTCAGAAAATACTAGCTGGTAAAACCTTTTGAAAACAAAGTCATTATCTTTTTTTTTTATATTATACAAAGCACTAAACGCCTTGAATTCCGATCTACCACAGCAATGGAAAGATCTGGCAAGTACTGCTATTCTCTAAATCCTTTTTTGGCCACGAATTTTGATTTTGCTTCTTTTGAAATAATGAAGGTTTCTCACTGAGAGTTATCATACACTTTTAGTAGGGCAGTGTGGTTCATTCTGTAATTTATAAAACTTTTCACTGTTAATGATCTGGCTAATTCTTGTATAATTATATGGAACGCCAGGTTTTCTGAAGTCTGTTTGCTACTAGTAGCTGATTGTCACAAACGCACATTTATCCAAGTGTGCTTATCACTTGGTTCTGGTGGTGTGCACTAGACCGGAATTAATGATAAAAACAATTTATAAATGGGGTGCTTTGCTTCCCCAACAAATTCGATTAACAACCCACAAAATTAAATTTAGCATTATATATATATGCAATCAAAAAACGAATAAATAGGTCTCTGCAGGTAGCGTGAATACCAGACAAAGACAGTACTTAATAAAGGAGTATTTATTATGAGCAACAAAATAGTTACAGAGCATACAAAAAATAGATGAGAAACAAATTAGTTACACCAACAACAGTTAAAAAGAAAAAAGAAAAAAAAAGAAAATTAACAGTAATCCTAATTACTCACTTAGATGGCAAAGTAACGGTATCTTCTGTCAGGGGGGGTCCAGCAAGGAAAGATGACAACTCAGAATAAGATTTTGACCTCTAGTAAGCACACAATCAATAACACGACATCAGATTTATACCTACTGCATTTATCTCAAAATTCTAAGCCAGCCCGGAGGTGATATAGGCAGAAGGAAGGCGTACATATATAAACTCTGAAACACGCCCCCCTATAACATGAGTGGGAGGTGGTAATGACGCAATTTTGTGAAGGTAGGAAACTGATGTGGTACTTACTCAGGGAGTTAGGGGCACCAGTTGAGGGGCATAATGTAAGGGTATGTATCCTTACAGTTAGTCAGCTACACTAATAAAGCTAGACTTGCTGGCAATTTGTGTGTAAAATTAGACACCTGGAAGAGGAACATTGGTTTGAGTCACCGTTGTAAATCGTCTGACATATACCACATTATTACCCAATAAAGTTAACCTTTAAACATTTCATGGCAATAAAACTGGGAAAGCACAGCTAATCCACTCCTGTGTATACCCTCTGTCTAAGTATTAACTCGAATACATATATACAGATTTCTATTCAAATTACTGAAGTGAACTGAGAGTTCTTGTACTACCCTTATATATTTTTGTGAAATTATTTCATAATACAACTGAGACTTTTTTTTTGTCTGTTTCATAAAATCTTCTATTCCCCTGATTAATTTTGTAGCAAAATATTTTACTCTTGCAGATTAATGTCCCTTACAATGCAAGACAATACCTTCAGTAACATTATACTAGTAATACCTTAGCATTTGTATTCTTTTATCAAATGGCTTTATTAAATAGCAAAAGTTCAAAGTACAGGTATCAGCAGGGGTATGGGAATTCTGCTTGGTGATAACCCAATCTATGACATGGATGCAGACAGGGTTTTACAGTAAACTCTGAATTTTCTCAAACTAAATCTGAATGGAAAAACTAAAGCACATTGCATGAATATATCTGAACATTCTCCAACTTAGCTAGAGTCACAATTGGCTATATTTGTCTCAGTGTCAGGATTCTATCCTGACAAACAAGGTATTGTTTTATTTTATTGCTGCAATACCCATTTCTCGCCTCTAGTGGCCTCCCTAACCACTAGTCAATCCTCTGTTGCTCTCACCTGCCTCATATGATCTTCCAAGTCTGCTATAAAAGGCCACACCCGACTCTTCACATGGCCTTTACATTGAAGTCAGTGTTCTGACATTGAAGTCAGTGTTCTGCCTGAAAACATCATGTATCCTGACTCCTGAAAACATCCTGTATCTGGTTCCTGAAAACCTCCTGATCCTCCGTTGAGACTCTGTGTGTCCTGTCACCGGAATCCTCCTGAAACTCATATCTTCAACTATTGCAAAACTGCATGATCCTGTAAGCAACCGGTACCATATTATACTGGAGTCTACTTACCTGTCTCAACTGCTGCAACACTGCATGATCTTGTAAGCAACCTGTATTTCATTATACTGGAATCTATTTGCCTGTCTCAACTGCTGCAACTCTGCATAATCCTTTAAGCAACCTGTACTATATTATACTGAAGTACTTACCATCTTTAACCATTCCAACCCTGTATCATCCTGAGCCTGGCTGCAGTGTGACATTCCACAGAATACTAAGCTACTTGGAATATCTTCAAACCTATTTGTATATAAAATACTTTATTCATTTACTTTCAAGATATCCTGTTTGGGGCATATTGCCTTAATTCTTGCTTTCAAGTAAATTGTTATGTCTAAAAAGAAAAAGAAAGTTTCAACCAATAACCCTGACAATCGTCTCCTCTCGGACCCTGCTCCTGGAACATTACACTCAGTGAGCTTGTGTGTGTCAGTGAGTTTGTCTGCAGTGTGTGTATGTGTGTGTGTGTGTGTGTGTGTGTGTGTGTATGTTTCACTGAGCCTGTAGGTAGTGAGCTTGCATGTCTATTGTGAGTTTTTGTGTGTTTCACTGAGCATGTTGGTAGTGAGCTTGTGTGTGTCAGTGAACTTGTCTGCAGTGAGTTTGTGTGTGTCAGTGAGCCTGTCTATAGTGACCTTGTGTGTGTCATTGAGTTTGTGCTTGTGTATGAGAGCTTTGTGAGCTTGTCTGTAGTGTACTTGTGTGTGTCAGTGATATTTTCTGCAGTGAGTTTGTGTGTGTCAGTGAGCCTGTCTATAGTGACCTTGTGTGTGTCATTGAGTTTGTCTGTTGTAAGTTTATGTGGGTCAGAGAGCCTGTTTGTAGTGAGCTTGTGTTGGTCAGAGTGGTGTGTTTCAGTGAGCTTGTGTGTGTCAGTGAGCTTGTCTGTAATGAGCTTGTGTGTGTCAGCAAGATTGTCTATAGTGAGCTTGTGTGTGTCAGCAAGATTGTCTATAGTGAGCTTGTGTGTATCAGTAAACTTGTCTATAGTGAGTTTGTGTATGTGTCAGTGAGCTTGCTTGTGTCAGTCAGCTTGTGTGGGTTTGAGTGTTTCTGTGTTTGTCAGTGAGTTTGTCTGTAGTCAACATGTGTGTCAGAGAGCTTGTCTGTAGTGTGAGTGTGTGTGTGTGTCAGTGAGCTTGTGAGATTTATTCATGTGGAACATGCTTTTTAAAATATATATGTTTGCTGCAGTGATGCCATTGACACATTGATGCCAATATGCTAATATCGACATGAAGGAATGCCCTGCTTATAGAAGTGTCCCCAAGCAGGGCTCATCACAAGAGACAGGGGGAAGCCTGGAAGGAGGCTGTTACAGCACTGTAATACCCATGGGTCACCTGGAGTGAGGGACTGCAGTTAAGAAACAAAATAACAGCTCCCAAAACACATAAATATAAAAAATACAAATACACTATGTTACATTATAGGGCTAGAATAATATTTTTCCAATGCTGCTTACTGTTGCCAGTCCAGCCCGGTATGAAAATACTGTCCTCAAAATTCTGCAGTGTCATTGATGAAGTAGCTCACACTTGGCTAACCAAAAGACAAACCAGAAATTAAAACGACACTAGTGCATCATGTAATTGGCTGTCTGATCTCCTGCAATGTAAGCAGTACAGGTCACTCAACTTTCCTGCTTTATTTTTTTTTTTTTTACCTATACATAGCATTATTTATGATTTTAATATATAAAATACTGTCCTCCAGATAACTGTGGTGTGATTGATGAAGTAGCCCTAAGTTGCCTGACCAAGAGACGAACAAGAATTCAAATCAACACTAGTGCGTCATGGGGCTGTCTGTCTGATCTCCTGCAATGTAAGCAGTACAGTGTGGGAGAAGGTTTGTAGTGCATTTGTCTGTTTGTGTGTGTGTGTGTGTGTGTGTGTTTGTGTATGTGAGAGTAAGTGTTAGACACAATATGTGGCACTTGCTTTCTATGTCTGGCTGCATGTCCTTGTGAGACTGTATGACTGTGTGTAAAAGAAGATACTAAATGTATGACTGTGTGTAAAAGAAGACAGTCTGCAGCAGTGAAAGCCGGTCCCTGTATAGAAAGCCAGTCTGCAGCAGTGAGGGTGTATCAAGGTGTGTGTGTGTGGGGCAGTGTAGATGCGCATACATCTCTGCATTCAAACGCATATACCACACAAAAACACCCCACATTCAAACTTCAACAGTACATACAAACACACCTTTGTGTCATAGGCGTGCGCAGCCTATTGTATAAGGGTTTACACCCTAAAGCAGAAACACACACGCCGCGTGTGTGTGTGTGTGTATATATATATATATATATATATATATATATATATATATATATACACACACACACTGCGGTGTGAAGGCGCTGTGTGTGTGCGCGGGCGCAGTGTGTGTGGGCGCGCTGTGTGTGAAGGCGCTGTGTGTAAGGGTTCTGTTAGTGTGTGCTGTGTGTGTAAGGGTGCTGTTAGTGTGTGTGTGTGTGAGGGTGCTGTGTGTAAGGGTGCTGTTAGTGTGTGTGTGGGTGAGGGTACTGTGTGTGTAAGGGTGCTGTCAGTGTGTGCTGTGTGTGTGTGAGGGTGCTGTTAGTGTGTCTATGTGTAAGGGTGCTGTTAGTGTGTGTGTGTGTGTATGTAAGGGTGCTGTTCGTGTGTGCTTTGTGTGTGTGGGTGAAGGTGCTGTGTGTGTAAGGGTGCTGTTAGTGTGTGCTGTGTGTGTGTGTTTGTGTGAGGGTGCTGTGTGTAAGGGTGCTGTTAGTGTGTGTGTGGGTGAGGGTGCTGTGTGTGTAAGGATGCTGTTAGTTAGTGTGTGTGAGGGTGCTGTTAGTGTGTGAGGGTGCTGTTAGTGTGTGTATGTGTAAGGGTGCTGTTAGTGTGTCCCGTGTAAGGGTGCTGTTAGTTTGCGTGTGTAAGGGTGTTAGTGTGTGCTGTGTGTGTGTAAGGGTGCTGTTAGTGTGTGCTGTGTGTGTGTGTGCTGTGTGTGTAAGGGTGTTTTTAGTGTGAGGGTGCTGTTAGTGTGTGTGTAAGGGTGTTGTTAGTGTGAGGGTGCTGTGTGTGTAAGGGTGTTGTTAGTGTGTGTGTGCTGTATGTTTGTGTGTAATGTGTGGGGTGTGGGGGCCGTTTAGTTAATATCCCCCCTCCCTTCTTACTTTATGTAGGGAGGGGGAACTGTGCTGCTGCCATCCCTGGTGGTCCAGTGGAGAGTGAACTCTAGTCCCTTGTGCGGCAATGCTCCGACCGCGCGAGATGAACTGGCGGAGCTGCTGACATGAGCTCCCTGGGTCCTCTCCTGCCTCCCTGCATGCCTGTGGTTAGGTGAGGGAGATCTTTGATCTCCCTCACCGGCCCACGGAGGGAGGCACATAGCCCCTGCCGCGGGGATTAGGGTGTGCCTAGGCACACCCGGCACACCCCGTGTGCACGCCTATGCTTTGTGTTAAACACCAAAATGATATATAACTACACCCCTGCATTCAAAAACCAACACTACACATAAATGCATGCTTGTATTAAAACGCCAACACCATATACAAACACACCCCTACATTCACACAAACATACTCAATACAAAAACATGCTTAGATTAAAACACACAAATACTGCCCAGTGCTAAATACAACCCTGCAAGCATGGGAAAATTGTAGAGCGCCAGCTGTCAGCGCATTGGTGGAGTTGCATGACAGATGGGGATCAACTTTTTGCGATAGGGGGGGATACAAAATACATCTTGCACCAGGGCCCTCTCTACTTTAGTTTCACCACTGCAGTGGGGTAAAGGGCATGAATACATGCCAGGGATTAGGGGGTGAGGGGGTGAGGGGGAGGAGAGGCAGGGTCCAGGTGGTTCAAGCATCAATATTAAAGACGGCCCTGGCTATATGTCTGTTCAATCTCCGTCATATTAATTGCACCCACACAAATTATCCATAATTTTGTTCAGGAGAAACAGGGCTTTCATTTCACATCAAATATTTGTATGCTAGGGGCAGGGGTTGATAGCTGACCAAGATAGTCGCATGTGTCTGGAGCTCCTCTAGAAAAAACCTCTTACTAAGCCTAATAACTGACTTTGTTGTAATACTTTTGGAAAAACTCTTGCTTATTCTCCTGTGGAAAATTAAATTGAATGCTTGGCTTACGTTTGCCTGAATCTGGTGGGCATAGCCCATGTTAGTCACGCTTGAGGCGGGGGGAGGCGGTCAATCCTCTGCCATGATATGATAGTACTTGAGCCCTCTTCCCCCGTCTTTGGACCGGCAGGGGATATCCCAGTCCCCACTGGTGCAATCTCGTTGTCCCCTCAATGAATCATTAAAATTATAGGTGATTTGGAGGATCCAGACATCTGGAACGTCGTGCTGGAGTGTCTTGCAGCTTGGTTACGAAGGGGAGACCCTATCAGATTGGCTGGAATACAGTTTCCTCGTGGCAGTACCTCTCCCTCTACAGGCATCGGCTGAGGGGCCACAGATCCTGTCTGCAGCTAGGCTGTTTTATTATTAGATTTTATCATGCATAATGTCAGATATAAATATTTCCCTTTGTTCTAATTTATTACTCTGCTCACATCAACCATCTGCACTTATCTCTTGAAAGATTCAACATTCCGTTTTATTTTTCTTTGTGTTTTAAAACTTTTGGAACTATGATCTTGATGTCCTTTACCATTTTAAAAAAATGTGCAGTCATTTGTTGCTTATATGCGTAATATTTGTCTATTCCTTGACTGTTGCTTTACTGTATGGGAATATTAATTAATGGAACAAGTTGAACAAAGAACAGTCGGCGATCCACTACACAACCACACACATCATCCACTACACAATCATACACATCATCCACTACATAACCATACACATCATCCACCACACAACCATACACATCATCCACCACACAAACACACAGACTGTATCCACTACACAACCACACACATCATCCACTACACAACCATACACATCATCCACTACACAACCACACACATCATCCACCACATAAACACACTAACTGCATCCACTACACACACACATCATCCACTACACAACCATACACATCATCCACTTCACAACCATACACATCATCCACTACACAACCACACACATCATCCACTTCACAACCATACACATCATCCACTACACAACCACACACATCATCCACCACATAAACACACTAACTGCATCCACTACACACACACACACATCATCCACTACACAACCACACACATCATCCACTTCACAACCACACACAAAATGCATCCACTAAACAGCCACACACATCATCCACCACAAAACCACACACATCATCCACTACATAAACACACAAACTGCATCCACTAAACAAATCATCCACTACACACACACACACAGCATTCACTACACAAACACACACTCTGCATTCACTATACACACACTACATCCACTACACATACACTCTGCAGTCACTATATACACACTACTTCCACTACACAAACGCACACACTGCGTTTACTATACACACAAACACTATATCCACTACACAAACACTATATCCACTACACAGACACACTGTATCCACTATACACATACTACATCCAGTACACAAACACACACACTGCATTAACTATACACACACACTACATCCACTATACACATACACTCTGTCCACTACACAAACATACTATCTGAATGCATTATAAACAGCGTATCCACTTTACTCACGCACTTTGTATCTACTACACACATTCTATAGCCACTATGCACACAAACAAATTCAGTACACACATACTTCATCCTTGTGGGTGGACTTAAGATGGGCCCTGTGGGTGGATTTGGGGGCAGGTCATGTGGGCAGACTTGGGGCAGGTCATGTGGACTGACTTGGGGGGCGGGCCCCAGGGGGCCCAGTTGGTGGGCTGTGTCAGGGGCCCCAAAATTTCTGGTGGCAGCCCTGGTCGGCATTAATGGGTTAATGGAACAAGTCGAACAAAGAACATCTGCATAGTTGATGCCTTTACTGCTCATGATTGTTATAATGATATAATAAGTTTTTATGTCTTTACTTTTTTATGATTGGAAAGATATGCAAGTTTTATGTATTTACCGCTCATGCAGGGAGAATTTACCATAGAATAGTTCCTGGAAGTGGAGCCAAAATGGGGTGAGAACATTTAGATCCAACCCCTTGTAGGGAGAAAAATGTTTTGCACCACCCCATGTTGCAAGGGGGGCCCTTTAACATGCAGTGTGAGTTTTGCCTTAAAACAGGCCCTGCACTTTGTTGTATACTGTTATGTGTGCTCCCTTGTCAGTGTGGTCTGCGCAGTTGCCCCCTATTGCTTTCTCTGGACTGTATGACAGACCTATTTGGGCATTAGCAGAGTCTTGTCTGTCTCACAGGCAGACTTTACAGTAATACTGTTGTGTAGCTACTAGTACTACATTATCACATAGTAATAGTGTAATGTAGTGTAATTAACCATGAGAAGGGGGCTGTACCAAAATTATCGAGAAACTAGTTCAGGTTTACATTTGCACAAACATTCAGCGTGCACAACATTTGGGATCAGTATAAGAAAAAATGTCAAGAAAAAATGTCTGCACACACCAACTAAGAAAAATTAGAGAACATTGGTGGCTCGGTGTAATGAATGTGTGATGTTTGTAAACTTGTTGTAATGTGTGTGTGTGGTGTGTTGGCTGCATGTAATTGGTGTGTGTGGTGTGTGCCGGCTCTACATAAAGTGTGCTTGTGGTGTGTGCTGGCTATATGTAATAAATGTATTATGTGTAGTGTGTGCTGGCTATATGTAATAAATGTAATATGTGTAGCGTGTGTTGGCTGTATCTAATATCTGTGTGATGTGATGGCGGTATGCAGTGTGTTCTATCTTTATGTAATGTGTGTGGAGTAGCTGGCTGTATGTAATACATGTAATGCGTGTAGTGTTTTAATATGTGTGTGATGTGATGGCTGTATGCAGTGTGTGTTATCTTTATGTAATGTGTGCTAGCTCTATGTCATGTATGTGTGGTGTGTGCTGGTTGTATGTTATGTGTGTGGTGTGTGCGCTTGCTATATGTAGTGTGTGTGTGTAGTGTGTAGTGTGTGTGTGTGGTGCGGTGTAGTGGCTGTATGAAGTTTGTGGTGTGAGTTGGCAGTTTGCAATGTGCATTGGTGGTATCCCTGGTGGTCCTGTGGAGGAGTGTGTGGTCTGCAGCTGCAACAGAAGCAGAGCTCCATCAGGCATGCAGTGAATCAGAATACAGGCTAGGAATCCAGATGCAGATGCAATCTAACTCACTAGAGAGCACCAGACTGCGATGGAGTGATTATTTACACTCACCAAAGGAATAGACCTCACATCCCAGACCTGTCCTCTCTCTACTATGGACAGGCCAAGCAAACTGTCTGCCCAGAACTACATGTCCCAGGGCGTCTGTCAATTCAATTTCCACACCCCTGTGACAGGTTCTTTAGAAAACCGGTCAGAAAATCATGATTGATTCTTGTTCAAACAATGTGTTTGTGTTTAACCTGAATAACATTCCATTCTGCTTTTTTGTTAAGAGGTGTTTAATAGCTAACTCTTTTACCGTTTTTCACTTCCTTATAGTCTATATATAAAATAAAATATACACCATATACACTTTATGTGAATTATTCTCTTCAGTAGTGCTTCCACTGTTTAATTTTAGTGCACTCTTTGTTAAAGATACATATATATATATATATATGTATATATATATATATATATGTAAATATATTATTCTCTTCCTTCAATATTGATCCTACTGTTTAATTTTCCAACATTACAAAAGGCTTCATATTTTGTTTAACTTTTCTTATTGCCACTGCATAGCAGCAAAGAACAACCAATGAAAAAAACAATTAATAAAATTCATAGACACAGTCCCCCAACAGGAAGTAGATTCTCTTTTTTTGCTGCTCCATATCAGGTACAGGTCAGCGCGTTTGGTTCCACTAGCTGGATTGTTTAATTGGACATATCTCTTTTATTTATACTCACATCATTCATATCATATATAGTTGTTTACGTACTTAGTTTAATATTGTTAACTATGTGGGGTATTTTGACCTAACTATGGTCACCTATATGGTCCCCATGGCACAGACTCTCATAAGGGTATATAACGTGGCTTGAAAATGACACAAGATAAGTTACTAAACATATTTGGGCCATTGGCACAAATACAATAATTGGCAAATTATACTTTCTCTCAGGCTATTTCCCTGGATGCAAGTGATATTTGTGAATGGGCACTGAGGTGCATTTGCTTTGGTGTTTGCCATCAAATGGAGGAAAGCAGCTCTATTACATATAGACTAAAACTGGCAGACTTGGGAATGAAAGAACTAGGCCCGGCAGCACAGGGCATACTGTTCAGGAAGCCTTTCATCAAGGAGCTGAATATGCATGTCAAACTTTTCTCTTCATTAAACAAAGCATAATCTAAGTTGAAAATAGTTTTTTGCACCACCTCCAGGGTTGTTCTTTCCAGGGCTGGTCAGCAGAAGGACCCTGCCACCAGCTGGTTTTGGCCTACAGGCCCAAGACCATTTCACAATACTTCACTCTACCCAGAGTTCATCACAAGATTTCAATATATCCCCTCTTGTGTCTCAGACAGAGGATGTGGCTTCCATGCTCTTTTCTTACAGGCATGGTTCTAAAATTTCTACAGATATATGGATCGTGCAAACAGTACAGTGGTACCAAAGAAAGGAGCTATTCAACTGGCTAGGTCCAGGAGTACGTTTCAGCAATATCTTCCTAGTTTGGAAGAAAACAGGAGACATGTGACCGGTCATCATTTTTAAAAACCTGAACGCAAAGGTGCTTTACCGTCACATCAAGATGGAAGGTAAACACCTACTGAGAGATCTTTCGAAGAAGAAGACTGGATTACTCACCAAACCTCAAAAAAGCGTATCTGTCTGTTCTGATTCATCAAGAAAGTTGACAGTTCCTGCAATTTTCATGAAAGGGTTTCCCATGGCAATTCACGGGCTTCCTGTTTAGTACCTTGTTTTTCCACCAAGCTCCTCAAGCCAGAAATAGCTCACATAAGTGACTTAAATACCTGGACTACTTCCTCATTTTCTCCTTGACAACTCCCACACTATAATCTCAGACGCGATATGTGGTCCATTTTCTGGAATCTATGAGATTTGTGGTTAATCTAGACAAAACCCCATTAACCCCTGCTCAAAGGGTACAGTTTCTGAGATAGATTCCCACTCCTGTGTGAGATTACCACTCCTGCATCCTGAAACTAACAATGGATATGATTACCCAGATAAGGACAGAGATTCACAAGGTGCTAAAACTAGAATCTCTCCCTCTGCTCCCCCTAGCCCCTCTTGTAAGTCTCCTCTCTTTGTCTATTCAGGCGATCTTTATGGGCCCTCTCCCTTACAGAGCCATGCAATGTCTGAAGACTTGCTTCCTAAGATTGTCCACATCTTATGAAAATTTAACTTACAGAGGAAATACGTACCAAACTGAGGTGATGGCTGATGCACATGCACTCATGGAAGGGTTGCACAATATTTGGCTCTACTCTGGATGTCGTCTTGGAGTCTGACACCAGTATATTAGGATGGGGTGTGACATGTGAGCTTGGATCCACAAGAGGGCAATGGTCATGGGAGGAATTCTTCTACACATCAATTGCCTAGAATCGCAGGATTACTGCCCATTTGCAGTTTCGCCAAGTATATATTGAACTGTTGCATTCTCCTAAGGATGGACAATTTCTCCGCCATCCAATATATCAAACGTTTGGGAGGTAGATTGGTCCCGCTTCTTCTCAGAAGGAGATTTATAAATTTTGCTTCGACTGTTGTCTAACGTTGAAGACGAAACATCTTCTGGGCACATGGAATCTGACAGCAGACTGATTCTTCAGGCACTGGAGAGATGTCAGTGATTAAATGTTGGACAGAACGGTCCCTCAATTCCCTTCGAGGACCATTCCAACTGCATCTCTTTGCCTCCTGAACTAACCATCAGACTCCAGATTATTTTTTTAGCTGGTTACCAGACCCAGCTTGTTTGAAGAATGCCTGTAAGCCAAGCTTCTAACAAATTAATGTGATCCTAGTCATTATTCATCATCATTAAACATTGCATTAAAAGAACACTATAGGCAACTTTATATAAATGAAGTTGTCTGGGTGCCATGCCCACTTCCCTCCCCTCCATTGTTTTAACCCTGCAGTTGAAAAAATTGCTGTTCTGCAGGACTAACTCGCTTCTAGTGTTTGTCTTACTGAGGCGCTTCAGCCATAACAGTGAAGTAAAACTCGACTATTTCAATTAGATGGTCTCATAGAGGTCATCTAAATTGACACGGAGTGGCGTTTTGCCTATTTTTCCCACTAGAAAGCACTGGATTGACCAAGTTGTTGATCTTGATGATCCAAAGAGGTGGAGAGGCATACTGGAGAGCAGCGCTTAAATAAAAAGCAGAAGTGTGTAATCTAAATTTTAAAATTACTCACCTAGAAGACATGAAAATGTGTTGTTCAAGGTTCTTTCTAAGTAGTAAAAAAAACTACAGTCCACTGTAGTGGTTATGGTGCAATGTCCCAGTAAGCAGCACTTAAGGATCTTAGAATGCAAACAACTATGCTTTATTCCGTGGCAATCAGTGGATGATGTACCAACAGCAAATGTTCAAAGTTTCAGTCATAAGACTTTTATCAAGACCTTTCATATATATAAAACCCTCAGTGGTGCAAGGGTTACTCAGTGGTGAAAGCTTGGATGCACGCTGCAAATGACGCGGATGCGGATCGGGTCCCTTGTGCTCCTCTATGAAAAGCAATGGATTGGACATCGCCGGAAGGCGGAAAGGAAAGCAGGGCCGATGGAGCCTCAACACTAGAAACAGGTAAGTAAAATAATATTTTTTTTTTTTATCCTATATGGCAAACGGGAAAGGGACCTGTTTTTAAAAAGAGACACTAAAGCGTTATTGTTTGTTTTTTTAATATTTTATTCATATGTATCCTTGTGCTTTGCAAAAGTATCGGGAATTAGAAGAAATACCTATTTGTCCTTTAAAAAAAGAATACATTAGATGTATGGGTGCACTTAAAGAGACTTAAATTAGTATAGAACAATCACATAGTCTACATAATATATTATAAAAATAAAGTCTCTGAATTATAATCATGGTACTTTGAGATCATGGTGTAAATGCATCAGACCTAAAATAAGAAATGATTAGCATATTGTGTCACTTTGCAATTGCAGGATTTTGTTTCAATGTTTTTCTTTCTCTCTTCATTTAGCAATCTTGACCACAATACAATTCACACAAGCAAGTGCATGCACTACTTGCTCCAGACAAACTTAAAGGACCACTATAGTTCCAGGAAAACATACTTGTTTTCCAGGCACCATAGTGCCCTGAGGGTGCCCCCACCCTCAGGGTCCCCTCCCGCCCGGCTCTGGAAGGGGGAAAGGGGTTAAAACTTACCTTTTTCCAGCGCTGGGCGGAGAGCTCTCCTCCTCCGATCCTCCTCTCCTCCCCGTCGGCTGAATGCGCACGCGCGGCAAGAGCTGCGCGCGCATTCAGCCGGTCACATAGGAAAGCATTCATAATGCTTTCCTATGGATGCTTGCGTGCTCTCACTGTGAAAATCAGAGTGAGAAGCACGCAAGCAGCTCTAGTGGCTGTCAATGAGACAGCCACTAGAGGAAATAGGGGAAGGCTTAACCCATTCATAAATACAGCAGTTTCTCTGAAACTGCTATGTTTTTGAAAAAATGGGTTAACCCTAGCTGGACCTGGCACCCAGACCACTTCATTAAGCTGAAGTGGTCTGGGTGCCTAGAGTGGTCCTTTAACCTGCTTGTCCCTTGAAAGTGTTAGCTCTTATCTCCTTTCCCTTCCTCCCTGTCTGCAGCCTTCAAATCCTCCCTATGGCATACACTATTATTTTTATCCCCAGCCTTCTCTCCTCCTCCTCAATTTCCTCCTTCTCTCTAATCCTCCCTTTGCCAGCTTTGGGTGTGCGCAGGTGCTGATTAAATAGTTCCATCAATAGCTTCTCTTTGAGAAGCCTTTGGTTGGACCTCAATGTGGCTCCCATGATGTCAGTTGGAGGTACACATAGCAGCACTGGGAGATTCGCACAACACTGGATAAACTTTCTTTACAGTTATTTTAAACATTTTTGGGGTTGTATGACTTACAGAATAATGACCATTATGGAATTATTCCAACAGTAGAATTGGAGAAAACCCTTTAGGATTTTCAGCAATTTGAGCTACAGTAGCTTTTCTGGGTAAAGGAAAGATAAAAATGTCCAGCACAAATCTTTAAATCCACACATCCTATATTTAAGGTGCCAAAGAAATAGGTGAAATTTCTGCCATACTGGGCCGATCCCTAGAAGTCAGTTCTTAAAGGGACACTATAGGCACCCAGACCACTTCAGCTCATTGAAGTGGTCTAGGTACAGTGTCCCTATTGCCCTTAGTCCTGCAATGTAAATCATTGCAGTTTTAGAGAAAGTGCAATTGGTCACGGGAGTCGTAACCCAACATTCAAGAAAGTGGAAACACACAAAAGGTGGATCTGATAGACCTATTATGGAGCCTTAGAATGGTCATATTTAACATATTAATACAGCAAGAAACAGGGTCAAGATAAGCCAAGGTCAGGAATAAAGAAATACACATGGTCAAGCCGGGTCAGGATACCAGAAATCACGAGGTCAATACGAAGCCGGGTCAAGATACCAGAAATCACAAAGTCAATATGAAGCCGAGGTCAAACACAGAAAATCACAAGGGAATCACTAGGAGCACAAAGCGAGGATCTATACAGAAACCAAACTATGGCAATGAATGGAGGCTAAAACAAGCCTTAAAGAGGCTCAAAAAACTTCCCATTGGTCCACGTCTAGATGACGCCACAGATTTGTATTCCTAACACTATAGTTTCTCTTTAAGGGTTAGGATACTAGTTTTAAATGTTAAACAAGTAGATAAGAGACTGGAAGAAATGGCCTTGAAATTTGGACAGAGGGGCTATCCAAAAGATTTCCTTGATGTAGAATTTAATAAAGTGAAAGAAATGGATAGAAATTGTATCCTAATCTTGAATCGGAAAAAGCAAAAGAAGCACCTAACGTTTGTTTCTAATTTTGGCATTCACAATTCTATGTTTATGAATGATTTGCACAAGCATTGGTCCATTCATACTAGTAGCCATTGTGAGGGGGAGAAATTGCAAACCCTTCATAGATTAGCTTTTAAAAGGGGCAGATTGCTGGACAAATATCAAATCGAGATAATTCTTTTTTCGCAAACCATAAGTGGTTAAATACTCGTGTTTGGGGTGAGCAGCTTGTAAAAATTGTGATAAAGGGGGCGACGTTTGTACACCCACAGAGTGGCAAGAAATAGAAAGTGAAAGGTTTTTTTTCACATTTAAATCATCTTTTGTAATATAGGTAATGAAATGCCCTTGAGGAAAATGTATACGGCGAAAACAGTGCAAATAAGCAGGGACCAAATCTCCAGTTACAAATCCACAATAAAAAAACAGCCAAGATAGACTTGCCAGCATCAAACATTTTTTTGACATTAGTCATATTGTTGCACAACTGAGGATCCAAGTAACAGAGCAGTTTCCATCCAAAGGAGGGACGGGTGGATGAATAGAGTAAAAATATTTTTTAGATATTTAATACATTTTAGGATTTAGATGAGGAAATTTAAATCTTTTGAACCATCTGACATGAATTGGGATTATGATTTGAATATGCTTCTTTAATTCTTAAATACTCATTAAATGTATCTTTACTGCTTGGACAAACTGGGAACCCATTTTGGTTTAGAGTAAACCCCTAAGCACAAAACAACTCTGCTTAAAGATTTAGTGTGTCCAGTAAGAGTTAAATTGAACAATACTTTATGTAACTAGTAATACATTATGTAGCAGTTTGTATATCATATGATTTTGTTTCACACCGGATGGTTTTTAATATGTGATTGTAAATGTAGAAGATTAATTCTTACACAAAATTGGATAAGTACCAAAAATGAATTATAGTATAGCATGTATTGTAATACCTTTAATTGTTTTCTTTTGTACTTTCTATTTTTGTACTTTATTCATTGTCACTTTGCTTATGTTTTGCACATGTATCGTGACTGTGTTCACACGTCTTATCACATGACGTAGTATGTGACAGTGTTGTTAGGCATTAGCACATGATCTAATATGCACTTCAAAGCTTGCTCATTGAGATAATTGAGAGTGGTACTCAGGTCTATTAATACTTACACCCTTTCAAGATACTACTAGTTTTGAGAAAGAACCTACGTGGCCGAAACCTCACCTTTTTCTTTGGCACCTTAAATAAAGGATCTGATTTAAAGGTTTGTGCTGGACATTTCTATTTTTCTGTACTGCTGTTGGCTGTGTGCAGAGCCAGGGTCTATTCACTCTAAGTTGCCAAAAAATTGCATTGTTATTTTTATAATATTGTTTACATGGACACTCCTGACCCCTATAGCACTTTAGCTTACTGGAAAGCTTTGTGTGTGAAGAATGTGTCCTTTTGGGGGGCGGGGCCGGACCACCAAGCTGGACGGTTGCAAGACAGACCAGCTCTGCAATATCTAAACCATTAAGCCATAAAAATATGATTATTGTCCCTTATACAGACCAGCAACAGCGGCCCTCAGTGGGCAGAGTGCACGGGATCCAGGGTGAGGCTGGCTCAACGAGTATTAGTCCCCTGGAGGAGAAACTTCACTACCAAAGTCGAGGCCTACTCCGGCAGTGAGAGGAGCGGATGGCCGCTGCCCTGCTATCCTGCCTAACAGTGCCCAGCGGGGTGCATTTGAGCAGCACGCGAGGCTGCCGACCGATCTACACTAAGGGAAACCGGAAGGGAACTTGCGCAGCGGCAGAACTTCCAGAATCACACGAACTTGCGATCTGAAGTTCCGCCCATCAGGCTACTCTTACCTCAGCTCCAATGACTGTGCCTCGCCTCCAGCACTCCCACTCTGTCAGCAGCATCCCCAGCCCTGCCTCCTGTCTAGTCTTTAGCCCCGCCTCCTGCCTAGTCTTCAGTCCCACATCCAGCCTCCCACTCTGTCAGCAGCATCCCCAGCCCCGCCTCCAGACCAAACTTCAGCCCTGCCTCCTGTCCTCCTACTCTGTCAGCAGCATCCTCAGCCCCGCCTCCTGCCTAGTCTTCAGTCCCACCTCCAGCTTCCCACTCTGTCAGCAGCATCCCCAGCCCCGCCTCCAGACCAAACTTCAGCCCCGCCTCCTGTCCTCCTACTCTGTCAGCAGCATTCTCAGCCCCGCCTCCAGACCAAGCTTCAGCCCCGCCTCCTGTCCTCCTACTCTGTCAGCAGCATTCTCAGCCCCGCCTCCAGCCAGCTTCAGCCCACCTCCAGCTTCCCACTCTGTCAGCAGCATCCCCAGCCCCGCCTCCAGACCAAACTTCAGCCCCGCCTCCTGTCCTCCTACTCTGTCAGCAGCATTCTCAGCCCCGCCTCCAGACCAAGCTTCAGCCCCGCCTCCTGTCCTCCTACTCTGTCAGCAGCATTCTCAGCCCCGCCTCCAGACCAAGCTTCAGCCCCACCTCCTGTCCTCCTACTCTGTCAGCAGCATTCTCAGCCCCGCCTCCAGACCAAGCTTCAGCCCCACCTCCTGTCCTCCTACTCTGTCAGCAGCATTCTCAGCCTGGATGATTTATTTACAGGTCAAATTTACAGCAAATATGTGTGGGGCTTCTTGTTTATGTGAGCCAATCAGAAGCAGTAGTGATCACAGAAATCAATTCTCCTCCTGACTGTGTCACAAAATCAGAGATTGCCTTGTCCCTTGTGTCTGCCACTGCTACTACCCTTGTGTCTGCTACTACCACTTCACTGTTTGCCTGTCAGTCCCTGACTCTGAATACTATCAGGTAAATTGCCTTAATTTTTCTTGTGCCAGTGCCACACTATTTTTGTTACAAATAAATGCTCATCAGGGCATACAGGGATGGTCCCCCAAAGCTGTCAATCTAACTCAAATTAACTTTACTGTGATACAAAGTATTATTATACTGTCAGACAGTCCATTTATATCACATAAATGTTAACTTGTGTTACATAGTTACATAGTTACATAGTTACATAGCTGAAAAGAGACTTGCTCCATCAAGTTCAGCCTTCCTCACAAATGTTGTTGCTGTTGATCCAAAAAAAGGCAAAAAACCTGGTCTGAAGCGCTTCCAATTTTGCCACAAACTAGGAAAAAATTCCTTCTTGACCCCAAAATAGCTGTCAGATGTCTCCTTGGATCAAGCAGCTATTATCCCACTAATTAGAAATTATATCCCTGTATGTTATGTTTTTGTAAGTATTTATCCAAATTCAGTTTAAACATCTGTATGGACTCGGACAAAACCACCTCTTCGGGCAGATAATTCCATATCCTTATTGTTCTTACTGTAAAAAAAACTTTTCTTTGCCTTAGATGAAATCTCCTTTCTTCCAGCTTAAATGTGTGACCTTGTGTACTATGTATAGCCCTGTTTATGAATAGATTTCCAGATAAAGGTTTTTACTGGCCCCGAATATATTTGTATAAAGTTATCATATCCCCTCTCAGGCTCTGTTTTTCCAAACTAAACAGATTAAATTTTTTTAACCTTTCTTCATAACTAAAATGCTCCATTCCTTTTATCAATTTTGTAGCTCGTCTCTGGACCCTCTCCAGTGCCATGATATCCTTCTTTAGAACAGGCGCCCAGAATTGCACAGCATATTCTAGGTGTGGTCTTACCAGCGATTTATAAAGAGGCAGAATTATATTTTCATCCCGATAATTTATGCCCCTATTTATACATGACAAAATCCTACTGGCCTTAGCAACTACAGATTGACATTGCATATTGCTGCCTAATTTGTTGTCTATAACAATTCCCAAATCCTTCTCGTGTGTGGTTACTCCTAATTCACTACCATTTAGTGTGCAAGTTGCTCGTGCATTCTTAACCCCGAAGTGCATAACTTTGCATTTCTCTATGTTAAATTTCATCTACCATTTTAGTGCCCAGTCCCCCAATCGATCCAAATCTCTCTGCAGGAAAGCAATATCCTGCTCACATTTTATTACTTAACAAAGTTTTGTGTCATCTGCAAACACTGATACATGGCTTTCAATGCCTATTTCAAGATCATTTATAAATATGTTAAATAGAAGTGGTCCCAAAACAGAACCCTGAGGGACACCACTTACCACTTTTGTCCAGCCTGAAAATTTACCATTAATTACAACTCGTTGTACTCTATCCTCAAGCCAGTGTTCAAGGATAGAGTACAACGAGTTGTAAATAATTGTATTAGACAGTAAGCTGTACACTCCATTCCCTGGGTGCCCTGGTCTCTATATGTAAAGGCTTGAATAGCCCCCAAAAGCTTGCAATCTAAGTCAAGTGAGCATTTCCTAATTATGTAAAACATACAAACAGAAATACTAACGAGTTAGATTGCAAGCTCTTGAAGCCATTCCTGCAATGTGAGAGACTAGGAGAGATCAGATATAAAGTGTGACCAGTAAACTCGACTACAATGTGTCACATTACACTCCACCATTCACACACACACAAATAACACTCAGCTGCCCCCATATTGCAAAAACCCTCACACAAATCACATTCAGCCAACCATACGCACAACAGCTACCCTCATCCACACACACACGCACATCACAATCAGCCATACCACATCACACAGACATCCCACATAATTCCACACACAGTAGTAGAACACTGATGTACTCTGAACCACATAACTGAGTTTTATTGCTGTGGAGCTCTGTGATGAAATTATGCAATCACTTTGATGTGAGTTGTATCTCTGAGGGCTCTGTGATTTGTTCATACACTGCATTTATTATGTTCATAATACTGTAATTGTTTTTGCAGTTGAGCTGTGTGATACACTCATAAACTCCTTACATACATGAGCGTTTTATTGCTGTGGGGCTCTGTAATACATTCAGCGATGCATTTACCGTGAGGCTAACAAGGCATTTGCGTTGGGCGGCACTTTCTAGGGGATGGCAAAAAACACAGCTCCAAATGCCCATGCCTTGTTAGCCTTGTTTTATGGGGGCCCAAGAGTTGACCGGTTAGCCAGTTTTGGGCCCCCGTGGGGCGGACAGCTAGTTGTTTTCCATGTGGGCGGCACGGCAGCGCTGACCTGTGAGCTCTTCCTGCTCTGCTCTCTCGCGAGCTGCTTAGTGTTGCTGCGAGCTGAAATATGACATCATATTTCAGCTTCCGGCATCACTAAATGTCATGCAAGCGAGCAAAGCAAGAGGATCACAACTCCCTCGCTGCCTACTTTGTGAGCCTGCCTGCCTGCAAGCCCATCTGCCTGCCCGCCTAGCAGCCCCACTGGAGCCAAGGTAAATAATCCACCCAGCTTTCTCAACAGTAACGAGGCTGGGTAGATTGTTTTTCTTTTAAAGAAATAGCAAAAATTTGTGAGTGTTGGGGAAAAATGTGTGTGTATGTGTTTGTCAGTGAATATATGTGTGTCTGTCAGTAAGTTTGTGTGGCTGTCAGTGTGGGTCTTTGAGTGTGTGACTAAGTTTGTGTGTATCTGTCAGTGAGTTTGTGTTGGTTTGTCAATTAATGTGTGAGTGTGTGTGCCTGTAAGTGAATGTGTGTGAGGGTCAGTGAATGTGGGTGGATGTGTGTGTGTCTGTGAGTGAGTTTGTGTATGTCTGTCAGTGTGTGTCTGAGTGAGTGTGCATGCGTTTATCAGTGAATGTGTGTGTCTGAGTGATTATACGTGTCTGTCAATGAATGTGTGAGTGTGCATGTCTGTCAGTGCATGTGCGCTTCTGTCAGTGTGTGTCCGAGTGATTGTGTGTGCCTGTCAGATTGTGTCAATTCAATTTAAATGTCAATTCAGTGAGTGTGTGTGTCAGTCAAAATGTGTGTTAGTCTTTAACAGGAAAGGTGGGGCAAATTTAAATTAGAGGGTTCCCAAGTTCATAATGCCTTGGGCAGCACAAATCCAAAATACGCCATTGAATACATTAGTACACTCCGTAGATAGTTTGAGACCTGTGAAAACTGTCAACTGAGCACTCTCAGGCAATCACTGTCTTAATCTCTGGTATGGCTTGAGATGGAAGTATAGTTCTGTCTCCTCTGCATTATCATTGGAGGCCGGGTTACTGGGGACCAACCTGCACTGCTAAATGGTAGTGACGTGGATCCTGGTACCCACGGACTCCAGGTAACATAACCACTTAAATACATTTAAGTGGTCATGGTTGTTTTTGGGGACCCTGCTGGGCCCTGCCACGCTCTAAATCAGTATTGCAGTAGCTCTAACCTGGGCTTACCTGACTACTGGCGACAAGCTGTGATTGTGGCTGACAGTCCTGGAGGGGGCTCCGAGCATATTGCGGCCTGGTGTGCAGGGTGGAAGGGAGGGGCGGCCAGTCTCCCACCTGCAGCAGCCTGTGCCAAGCCAAACACCAGCTTGTGCCCTGTCATCCCTCCTTTGGACCTGCGGAGATGATCCCGGAACCGACCCAGGAGGTTTCTCAGTGAGCTAGGAGCACACGACACCACCACAAAGCCAACACCATGTGGCAACTAAAATGACAGCCACCACGTGTGCTTCTGATCCAGAAAGTGGGAAATGGGATGTGCAGTATCGGCTGAACCAGCTCTGACACCTTTTGAGAGAAGCTGGCAGCTTGCCTGGAACCAGTGGCCCCAGCAGCAGCGATCACACACCGGGTCTCTCACTCAGGAAGATGCAGAGGGCAGTGGAAACAACACGTCTGAACCGAACATGGCAGAGATGCCGACGGCAGGTCAGAAAGGCTGTGAGAAGGAGTAACACTCCATCATGCCTACATCCAAGCCTCTAACTGGGACACTGACCTGTTCAGCACTTCAACACAGCAAGGCTGCGGCCTACCCCAGAAGGACATAGGTTGATAAAAGTCTGAGACTCCTAATAGCGGGATCTCCACAGCCCAGAAGCCTTCTCATCGCACGTTATTATTTTGTGTTTAGGCTTTCAGTTAACAGTTTCTGATATTTCTTTTGATATGCCTCCTATAACCTGTAGCATTACCTGTCATGAGTACTCTTTCTCTAATGCCTATGGCTGAGGCTTTCTGGGTGTACCAACATTTTCTAGAGCTAATTGTCATTACATGTCTATTTTTGATTGCTCATCCACTACTACTGAAACAGACACAGTCATGTAAACCTGGCCTGTTACTGCAAATTGTGCAGTATATAAGAATGGCATACAATCGTTTCATTATATGTCTTGTAAGTGTTTTACTTCTCACTGTTGTGGCAATAAAAGTTGAAATGTAATCTCATGCACAAGAAAAATAAAGAATTATAAAAAATAAAAAAGGAAAGAGGATCTTTGTACTTATTCACCCTCTTATTGAAGCCCATTTTGTCGCTGTGTCATTTGTTATTTTCTGGTGTTATTAGACTGGGGCTGAACTCTACAGGCCTGTCTGTGGCATGTACACTGTACTAGTCATTTCTGACAAAATGGGACATTTACACCTCCTTTAATATTCCTTACTGCGCCTCTTGATTCATCTTACTTTTCTGTTCAATTTTTTTTTTTTTGAGGGGATGGGAGATTAGTTCATTGGTTCAAATTTGTTGGTTCCAGTGTATAAAAGAGAGGTGCACAAACGCACCCAACAATATTTCCAACCACTGTCAGGGTGGCGGTTTTTGGAGAAAGAAAGGCAGCTTTTATGATGTTCATTTGTTTTGGGGATGTAATCAATGTTAAAAATAGAACAACAAATACAAAATCCAAAAGAGGAATCAAAAGTATCAGAAATATGGATTATAGAAAAGGGGTATTGTGAGAAACTGACTCTGCTGGGTTTCGAACCCTGGTTTACATGGTGCTAAACCTTTTCATTACCAGTACACCAGCCTGCCTTTTGCAAATTTACCTGAGATCTGATACTATTGCTTGTAGAGTCAAGGTTATCAGTGACAACTCACTTCAGCTGTGTCTAGTCAGGTGTCTGGTTCTTGGCCTATAAAAGCCACTTCCTGTCTCTTTACCTTTGCCAGATTATTGTGGTTCCTGTACTCTCTAATCCAGCGTGTTCCTGTTTCTCCTTCCTGTTGCTGAATTTGGACTGTTTTGACTTTGCTGCTTCTCCTTCCCACTGACCTCGGCTTGCCTCACTACGATTATCATCTTTCTGTTCCAGTCTCCCATCTCTGCTTAAGACCAGAAGGCCACTCAAGGCTCAGGGGCTCAACCACCTGGGTAACGAGTGGCTACCTCTGGCAGAAAACATTGCTGATCTGGCTACTGGACTCCAAAACTTTGTAACATCAATATCATTACAGAATAATCTGGCCCATTCATGGAGACCGTCGGATCAGATTCTGCATTGGCCCAGCAGGTTGCTTTTAATGCAAGAACTATGCAGACCCAGGCACAGACCATTCAAGTGCTGCAGGATCAGGTAGCTGAACTGCAAAATGAAGTTCGATCAATGCATAGTGAGCTTACCAGCTACAGGGCACATGATGTTGCGGCTGCTGCTACTACTACTGTTACACCTGCACAAGATGCCCGCTTGCCTCTACCAGAAAAATTTGGAGGAGACCGCAAAAAATTCAGGGGTTTCCTAAATCAATGCCGTTTGCATTTTATGATGTTACCTAACCGTTTTCCATCTGAAAGAGAGAAGGTGGGATTTATTTTTTCCCTCTTCAAAGATGAAGCCCTGGCCTGGGGCTCCCCTTTTCTGGAACAGGACAGTCCAATCTTGGGAAATTTAAAAGACTTTCTTGAGGCCATGTGCCTAGTTTTTGATGATCCCAATCGCTGTGCTACAGCAGAAGCCACTCTCCTTCATTTACATCAAGGGAGGCGATCTGTGGCTGAATATGCTGCTGAATTCAGACAGTGGGTTACTGATACTACTTGGAACCAATCAGCCCAGAGGTTCCACTTCAGAAGGGGTCTCTCAGAAGCTATAAAAGATGAGCTAGCTCGTGTTGATCTTCCTGTTGAGTTTGATGCATTTGTGCGGTTGGCTATCCGTATTGATCGGAGACTTTCAGAAAGAAGATTGGAAAGACAGGGCTCTTTTAAACCAAGTGCTACTCCTACTTTCTATTCAAGAATTTCTACTCCGACCCCACAAACACCTACAGACTCTGAACCTGAGGCTATGCAAGTAGATCTAATAAGAGGGCCATTATCCAATGAAGAAAAACAGTGGCGACGCACTCACAACTTATGCCTGTATTGTGGTAGTGCAGGGCATTATGCCATCAAGTGCCCTAACAAGTCTAAAAGAACAATAGCTATGACTGCTGAGGGTGCACAGATTCAACACCAATCCCAGATTTCAGACCAACTGGATTCTGTCACACAACCCTTGTTTTCTCTGGCTCAGGGTGAAGAAGGTATGATGACTCAACATCCTCATTTGGTGGTGCCTATCACTTTGCAATATGGTAATAATACAATTTCAACTACAGCTATGATAGATTCCGGAGCAGGAGGAAACTTTATGGACATTAAATTTGCAGCAGGAAATAAAATTAAAGCTGTGCTGGACTGGCCCATCCCCAAGAATGAAAAAGATATACAGAGATTTGTGGGGTTTGCCAATTTTTACAGGCGTTTCATTAAGAATTTCTCTGCCGTTATTACACCGATCACTGAACTTACACGTAAAGGGACTCCTTTTCAGTGGTCCAATAAGGCTGACACTGCATTTTCCAGATTAAAGACTCTGTTTACATCTGCCCCTATCTTGGTACATCCTCAGCCAGAATTGCCATTTACTGTAGAGGTAGATGCTTCTGATTCAGCTGTTGGGGCTATACTATCTCAAAGGACTGGACCTAAGATGTTGTTACATCCATGTGCCTTCTATTCCCGCCAGATGTTACCAGCAGAAAGAAATTATGACATAGGGAATAAAGAACTTTTGGCTATAAAAGCTGCCTTCACCGAATGGAGACATCTCTTGGAGGGAGCCACCCATCCAATTACTGTCCTCACAGATCACAAAATCTGGAATGTATCCAATCCGCTAAGAGACTGTCAGCCAGACAAGCACGCTGGTCCCTATTTTTCTCAAGGTTTAATTTTTTTATTTCATACCGCCCTGGTTCCAGAAATGGCAAGGCGGATGCCTTGTCTAGGATAGCTGACCCCCTCCATACTACAGTAACCAAGGCCACCATCTTGCCAGAGAGCAGATTTTTAGGAGTTACCTTTCCTTCTGATCTAATGTCTCGCATTAAAAAGGGCTACTCTAAAGATCCAGTTTTTCGTGATCCTCCTCGTGATCTTCATATGACCATGCTTAATGGGTTTTGGATTTTTCAACAACGTCTGTTTGTTCCAGAATCAGTGCGACTGGACGTTTTACGCCTCTACCATGACTCTAAACCAGCAGGTCATCCAGGAATCCGAAAGACACAAGAACTACTTACCCGATCCTTTTGGTGGCCTAAATATTATGAGGATGTTAAGAAGTATGTGTCCTCTTGTGATGTATGTGCCAGACATAAGACTCCTCGCTCATCCCCTGTTGGCTTGCTTCAGCCTCTTCCGATTCCTCATCGTCCCTGGGGATCTATATCCATGGACTTTATTGTGGAACTACCTCCCTCTAAGGAACACACTACTATTCTTGTTGTTGTGGACCGGTTAACCAAGATGAGTCATTTCATACCAGCTCGTGGTCTCCCTTCAGCTAAACAGACTGCTGACCTTGTTATTCGGGAAATATTTCGCTTGCATGGAGTGCCTGATGAAGTAATTTCTGACAGGGGAGTGCAGTTTACATCTCATTTTGGAAATATTTTTGTTCTATTCTAGGTATTAATGTAAATCTGTCTTCAGCTTTTCATCCACAAAGTAATGGACAGACTGAGCGAACCAACCAGACTTTAGAACAATATTTGCGGTGCTATATTAGTTACCTGCAGGATGACTGGCTGGATTTTCTACCCACGGCGGAGTTTGCCTATAACAATGCCCAACACTGCTCCACTTCTCTGAGCCCATTTTTTGCCAATTATGGTTACCATCCAACCTTTCTAGTGAGTCTCCCAATTACTACTCCCATTCCTGCAGTCACTGACCGGCTAACCGCCTTACGAGATTCCCAAGAACTGTTGAAGGAGACTCTTTCGGAGGCTCAGGAATGTTACAAAAGAGCTGCTGATAGGCACAGAAAGGAGGCCCCAGTTTATCATGTTGGTGACAAGGTTTGGCTGTCAACAAAGAATCTTAAGCTTAGGATTCCTTCTCATAAATTGGGTCAAAAGTTCATGGGACCTTTTAAGATAATCGCTCAGATCAATGCAGTCACCTTCCGTCTGCAACTTCCGGATTCCATGAAAATACATCCGGTGTTTCACGTGGCACTGCTTAAACCTTTTCATGAAAATACTTTCCCTGGTCGAGCCTTGCCTGCCCCACCACCAGTCCTCGTGGATGGTGAAGATGAATACGAGGTGGAAAAAATTCTTGACTCCAGGATCTTCCGCAACAAACTTCAATACTTGGTTCATTGGAAAGGCTATGGTGAGGAGGATAGATCATGGGAACCAGTGGACAATATTCATGCTCCTGATCTTCTTCAGTCTTTCCATGCACAGTACCCTGCTAAACCAGGAAATAGGGCATCCAGAGGCTGCGCCTGTTAAGGTGGAGGTAATGTGAGGAACTGACTCTGCTGGGTTTCGAACCCTGGTTTACATGGTGCTAAACCTTTTCATTACCAGTACACCAGCCTGCCTTTTGCAAATTTACCTGAGATCTGATACCATTGCTTGTAGAGTCAAGGTTATCAGTGACAACTCACTTCAGCTGTGTCTAGTCAGGTGTCTGGTTCTTGGCCTATAAAAGCCACTTCCTGTCTCTTTACCTTTGCCAGATTATTGTGGTTCCTGTACTCTCTAATCCAGCGTGTTCCTGTTTCTCCTTCCTGTTGCTGAATTTGGACTGTTTTGACTTTGCTGCTTCTCCTTCCCACTGACCTCGGCTTGCCTGACTACGATTATCATCTTTCTGTTCCAGTCTCCCATCTCTGCTTAAGACCAGAAGGCCACTCAAGGCTCAGGGGCTCAACCACCTGGGTAACGAGTGGCTACCTCTGGCAGAAAACATTGCTGATCTGGCTACTGGACTCCAAAACTTTGTAACATCAATATCATTACAGGTATTTTTGCTTATTTGCAGGATCCACAGGGAGCAATCATATTGTTTGAACGAACAGTTCTTCTCAGCCTTCTCAGCTTTAGATTTCAGATCCTACTTCCACTTGCTAAAATGTCTACCGTCAAAAAGCAAAAGCTTGACATTCGCACTTTTCAGCCTTCATGGACTGAGGAATATGGAGTTGTACAGCAGACGGATCGTGCTGTGTGTACATTATGCTGTGAAAGTATTGTTTGCCGAACATCAAGTGTCAAAAGACATTTTCAAACTAAACATGAATCGTCATTTAATAACATGGAGGACAAAATGGAAGCCATAAAAAGAGCAGTTTGTAGATATAAAAAAACAAACAAGTATATTCAGCCAAGTAATTGGAGCAAAGAATAAAGCTACTGAATGTAGTTATAAAATTGCTCAGTGTGTCGCAAGAAAAGGGAAACCTTTCACAGATGGTGAATATATTAAAGAAGCTTTTATAAACAGTGCTGAAGTTTTATTTGGCGATTTGCCTAATAAAGTTACAATATTATCACGGATAAAAAATATACCAGTATCGGCAAGAACAATAGAAAGACGAGTGACCGAAATGACAGACAATATACAAGATAAGCAAAGAAGAAGTTTAAAAGATGCTCTTGTCTTTAGTGTCGCTGTGGATGAAAGTGTTGATGTCAATGACATGGCTCGCCTCGCAGTAGTTGCTCGCTACTGTGAAAATGATCGCATTTATGAAGAATTGTGTTGTCTCAAGTCACTTGAAGGAACCAAAGGAGAGGATATTATGTCTGCATTTGCAGATTATTTTGAAAAGCAGAGTACAGATATCAATAAAATATTCTGTATAACTACAGATGGTGCCCCTGCCATGGTTGGAAAAAACAAAGGATTTGTAAAACTTCTCCAGGAACGCATTGGTCGTCCTGCACTGAACTTCCATTGCATAATTCACCAAGAGAACTTGTGTGCAAAAATCTCATCTTCATCCATGAACTTTGTGATGGAAACAGTTGTAAAAATTGTAAATAATTTAGTTAGCCACTCTGCATTAACCCACAGACAGTTCAGGTCCTTACTGGAGGAACTGGAGAGTTCATATTCTGATCTCCCTCTTTATAAAAACGTTCGTTGGCTCAGTCGTGGCAAGGTATTGAGCAGATTTGTAGCATGCTTGGAGGAGATCAAGAGTTTCACCAGTGAAAAGGGTCATAATTACCCAAAACTAAGTGATATTAACTGGCGTTGCAAGCCTATGTTTCTGGCTAATATAACTGCACACCTGAATGACCTGAATTTACAGTTACAGGGAGAAGGACAAACTGTTCATCTTTATGAATACTGGAAAGGATTCCTGGAAAAACCGAATGTGTATTATCGGGATATCGCTACTGAGACATACTAGTATTTTCCCAATGTAAAAGCACATTCAGCTCATTATCCAGTTGACACAGAAGAACTGCAGAAGTACATTGGGGCGCTCAGAAAAGAGTTCCCAGAACGATGTCAAGATTTTGAGATCCATGGGCCAACATTTTCATGCCTTATCAAGCCTGACTTAACTGAATCTACCTCATTTGGGTTAACTCTTTTTGAATGGATGAATGTTAATGATTTTGAAATCCAGCTTATTGAATTGAAGGCATCAGAATTATGGAGAACAAAATTTGAAGAACTGCTGAAAACTCTGGAGGGAAATTGCACAGATAGATCAGCTGCCATTGTGCAATGTTGGACCAGTCTACCTGAAAAAATGTATCTGCCTAAAGAAAATTACACTTGCGTTGCTTTCGGCCTTTGGGTCAACATATATATGTGAGAATCTTTTCACAAGATCATTTTTGAATCCGCATCAAAGGCATCTCACAACTGCTCATTCAGAAGCCTGTGTGAAGCTTAAAGTTACACAGTATGTTCCTGACATAGAGGAACTAAGCAAGGAAAAGCAAGGACAGGGATCTCACTAAGTTTGTCCTGTAAAAAATAAAAAAAATGCTGTTGGATGTTCTTTGTTATTAAGTTTTAAAAATATTTTCAACACATGTAAATGTAATTAGAAATTCCATTAAAAAGCAAAAGACAAATCAATATGATTAGTTGTTCTCTTAAAACAGACCTTCTTTATTTGTTATCATTAATAAAATATTAAACTTTCTTAACCATGCATTCCTCATTGAATTTATTGCCGGCACACCAAGGAACGTCAAAGTTTTATTTTGGCACAGCACTACCAAAAGGTTGCCTACCCCTGATCTTTACACTAAAATGCCAACGTTGTTTTGGTGACTATAGTGTCTCTTTAAATTCATTCAAGTTTTAATTTGGGATATACATCTAGTAAAGAGTGATTTTATTTATTTTGTATTTGAGCAGTTGGGCAGTGTAGTTAATTATGGACAGTGGAGTTAATTAGTGAAACATAAACCTTCAAGAAACCCCGGGGCATTTCAGGCCAATTTTACATAGGTTCAGAACCACTCTAAGTGGGACACAAGTGGTGACAACTACATTTAGACAAAAAAAGTAGAAGAACTGGAAAAAAATTCACTTTGCCTAGTATTGTGAGTCTATTTCTATCAGATATGGCCAAACAAGGTAAGAAAATTGCTTCTGTTTACTTATTTTTGACACAGCTGTCATGGAGACAAAACAATTGAATATATGCATGGATTGTATTCGAATACAATGTTACAATTGACAACTTTATGTACGGTTTGAGAACTTAAATGTATACCATTTACACACCAAACTGAAATGTTAACACTCAGTTGTTATTGTCAATTTTAACAGTTGTAAAAAAAAACCACACAGTATACATGACAGATAGATAGAGTGAAACGCGTTTAGATGATCATAGAGTGAAACGCGTTTAGCTGATTATTCTGGACTTTTAATTGGACTTAAACTTGATTTTTTTACTTTTTAGTAAATTTTGTTTTTATTGTCAATAAATTTATACATTATTATTTTACACTTTAGTTCAAAGTCCTTTCTAGCCGTCAGGAACTCCATTGGGGAGAGTGCTATTCCCCCCTAAAAGTAGCACATTGTTTATCAACCTGAGAGCTGGGATTTCAGGGCTCTGGAAAAGGTGAGCACAACTATTTACACCCTTTGATACTAATATAGTATGTGCTTTTCTACACAGTTGCTTTTCTGTTTTCTCTCTCGTTGTATATTCCTGGAGGGATACTGCCTGGGACAAAGGGGTGTTTGCTGCCCAAAGAGCATAAAAGATCTTCTTACAGAGCCAATATTGTATAGGCTCCTGTCCATGTGAGTGGTTTAAGTCATTTATCACCATCAATTTTCTATTTGGAAAAACTTCTGCACTATATTTCTTGTTTTTCTTGTTCCCTTTTATATGTTTATTCAAGTTTCTCAAGATTGTCACTGCACTAAAGGGGTGAGTAAACCACTCTACTGTTTAGAGCGCTCCAATTGTTTGGTATAACATTTATACCTTATTTCTTTGTATGTGTTCTTTATTGTGGGTAAGGGGTATTCCACTTTTAGTGTTGAGCAGCTTTTACCTTTCGGGCACTGTCAAGTAACACTCTCTATCTCTTTGAGAGAGTTCTTTTGTTTTATAGCATATCAGATTTGAATGGATGTTACAATAATGGGAACATTAACCTTCTATATTATTACAGTGGGAGCAGAAAGACATGACCTTGGATGATGGCAAGAGCCCCATTTTTTTTTGTTGCCCAATTACTGAATAAGGCTTTGGCAAACTGCTGTGATTTGGACCAAAGACTCCTTAGAAGCAGGGCTAGCTCTGCGAATTAATCTGTAGTCAGACATACAGGCAAGCAACAGACATAGGCTTAACAAAAGGAGAATTTACTGTAACCCTAGATAGCCTTGGCCAGACAAGTATTGGATGGTATTACAAATGCCCATTCAAATTACTGAAACATGTTTTGCACCTCATTTGCCTTAAACAGTCAGGCATTGTATACAATTCTGTACTCTGCCTGCAACCCCCATGGAGAGTGCAAAGGGGTGTGTGTGTGTGTTTGTGTAGACAGGTATGGAGACAAACAGAAACATTGAAAGGCAGACATACAGCATTGGTCGATAGACAGGCAGACTATGCAACAGAAAGGTAATAGAAGGCTAGCTAGATATAACAGACAGACATGCATATGGTAAAAAGACATGCATATGACAGATAATATTTATCTCTCATTTGCATTATTGATTATACATTTTACCATATTTACAATTTTATTGTAACACAGACTATGAGAAGCATTATAACAAGGCATGCCCTGCCCTCCGAGCAACACTTACTTTTCTCTGTATTGATATTTCTGCATTTTAAAGCAAATAAACAGTTCAACGAAAAATCTAATAAAACAGTAATCAATAGCATTATTAATGCTTTAACAAAGCCATAAATATATTAAAAAAATTAAATGGAACACTATGACTTGCTGTACAGCACAATTCACAGAGAAATACTGGTAGCAGAGCTCCCTTACACAAAATGCCATACTGTATGTGGCTGGAAGGGTTAAGGGCTGCCCAATAAACAGAGGGTCTGTGCACAGTTTGAAAATTCCCTATAAATCACAATATGAATTTTAACATAGCAAGCTACCTGCCCCCAATCACAAGCATTAATCGTTCTAATGCCATGTGTAATGCCCACTTTTAGGTTAAGGAACTGGAAACATAGGCTTCACCCAAAATGCCCTCCCTCCAACATCCACCCCATCAGCAAGTGCATCACTACACAACAGATAGCCCAATTAGCTTCCCTCTCCCAGAATGTGCTCTCCCCAAATCGCACACATCATGTGCATGATTAACTAGAATTCAATGTATTTCATAAGATGCCCATACCTCTCCTACACCACTGGCATTCTTCTCCATATCCACAGCTATACACAGCAGACAGCCCTCCCTGCAATGCATTCCATTCTTCACTCTCACTAGAATACATACCCACCAAGCCATACTCCTAAACTAGCTCCTCCTCCTGCATATTGCCTGACTCCTGGCATTTATCCCCACGCCAGTCTCAAAGCTCAGCTTTCTCTCTCCCTTCCTGCACTAATCAAGTCAAATGTATTAATCTGCACCATGTACCCTGTTCCAGACCTCTCCAGGGGCTTCGTGCGTTATGCAAGGGTGTCTAGCTGCAACCCCATCATCCACGCAGCCTCCTTCCCTACAATCACACATAATATCTATATGAAAGGGTGCAAGGGTTGGACAGCTGTTAATGATATTATTGGAATTACATTAATGCTGTCACACTAGGGCTTATTCAAAGGTCAGGCTGAAACACTGTGTTGCCATATTTGTATATATTTTTTGTGCAACCTTGTATATTGTGTCATGTTATCGATTTGATTTAATTCATTAATTTCCTGTTTTATTGTGACACCCTATATTGATACATAACTCATTATTTAGTAAGAATAAACATATAAAAAAGTGAAACACATTGTAATTTGCACTTGCACCTGAGAAAACATACTCATATTACAAACATTATATTTTGTGTATTTTAGGAATACATTATTATTAGCGGGTGAATATGGAGAATAAGAATTTCATGTTTTTAAAGCTTATTGTGTTCTGAAATTCATATTTCAGGAGTGGTCACAAAGGCATTATTAACATATGCAGATTTTCAAGATAGATTTTCCCAGTCAATTTAGTTAGGGGCATTCGATGCTGCAATGTATTCATTGCATTATCAATCAGTGTCAAAAGTTTTACATACACACTCGTGCACATTGCATTTTTGCTGTGTGTTGTCAATGCTGGTATGTAGGGTACCAGTAACATTAACAAAAATGTTCAGCTGCATCCATCAAATAGTGTAATGTCCCTCAAACATAGATTTTTCTGATTAAAAGCCTTGATCAGGTTTAATTTCTGATATATGGCTTGCTGTTTCTCCCATAAAAAAATGTATGTGAGCAGCAGAACTGGCTGTCCTCACCCACCACTTACTTTCCACAGACATCACTCCAGATGTGGCAGATTCTGTGATTTGCTGCAAGCAATGGATGTAAAGAAGTGTTATTTAAATTTGTAAACTTTGCAAAACCGCTGTCAGCCCCTCCTACAAAACCCTTGTCCTGCCCTGCCCCATCTACAAAACCTCTGTCCTGCCCCTTCTACAAATCCTGTACTGCCCCATCTACAAAACCCCCGCAACCCCCTTCCACAAATCCCCTGCTTATCCCCCCTTATAAAGACTCCTGTCCCAATACAAAACCCCCACCCCCTTCTACAAAATCCCTGCAGCCCCACACACACATTTACAGGCAGACAGTCACACACTCAGTTACAGACACAGTCACACATTCAGTTACAGACAGACAGTCACACACTCAGTTACAGGCAGACAGTCACACACAGTCACAGGCAGACAGTCACACATACACATTTCCTCCGTGCGGCCAGTTTATCAGCTGTTTGCTTGAGTGAGCTGTACTGGCCGCACGGCACCCTAACTACCATGGGACACTGTGCGGCCACAGCTCACACAGCCCCCTCCAGCCAGGGCCGGTACAAGGATTTTTGCCCAAGGCAAAAGTAAAGTTTGCCGCCCCCCATGTGACATCACAATGCCCCAGCCATATGATTTGCCATGTTAACTAACGCCAGTGCTGCAGTGCCGCCGTGTTTACATTAAAAGGCCTGCAGGGACAGGCTATAGACACCAGAACCACTACATTAAGCTGAAGTGGTTCTGGGACTATAGTGTTTCTTTAATGTGAGGTAAATTAGAGCTTAGTGCCACGAATAATATACTAGATTGCCTACTTACAACCAGATGAGGATGATGATGGGCTCTAGCTGCAGTCTGGCTCCACTGGTCTGGTGCAGAACAGGCTCTCTGGAGGCGGTTTGTAACTGTGGTCACAAAAATCAATATTCTGGGAGAACGGGAAGCAGCTGCATTTTTTGGGGGTCCTTTACACAGCTCAAGGTCTGGGTCCCAGGGTCCACCTTCATGTTCCACCAATGAGTTTGTTCACAGGGGGTGGAATGTGTAGGGGATGTCCTGATATGTGTAAGGAATGCATTGTGTGAAATTGTGTTTGTATGTGTAAGGACTGCAAGGTGTGTTTCTGTGTATGTATGGGATGCATTGAATGTGTGTAAGGGGTGCATTGAGTGTGTGTAATGAATGCATTGTGTGTTTCTGTGTGTGTAAGGGATGCATTGTGTGTAACGGTTGCATTGCTTGTGTATGTGTGTCTGTGTGTGTAATGCATTGTATGTTTTTCTGTGTGCAGGGGGGGGTGTTTTGTGTGTATGTGATGAATGTCAATCTCTCCTCCCGCTCCAATTTCCTTCTCCTACTCCCAATTTCAATTTCTCTCCCCCCCTCT